GGCAAGTCGCAGGCCGACGCGGCCGCATTCGTCCAAGACCTGCAGCACCACCACCGCTACGTTCAGGAATTGTGGTCTGCGTAAACTTAGATGCGATGATTAGACTTTCCATGTCGATGCCACGCGTGGATCTCTTTCCTTGGATCCAGTTGTATGCGGCAATGACAGTACTGGCGAACCGGTGTCGCAGGTCCTTCGTAAGTTGCCGAGGACTGTCGGCGGAGCTCCTTCTATCGTGGACTCGAGATCGCATCGTCCCGTCGACATCGAACGTTGTTGGTAATGGTGGGTCAAGTGAGTTCACAGGCTTCATGCACCGCCGATGTACACATCGCATGGCAAAGCATGAGTTCACAAGCCTACAGCCTTGCTACGTGAAACACCGTCATCCACCGCCATGGGGATGCGCTTCCAGCCCAAGAGAGCGCCGTGCCCCATTCTGGACAGATCGCCGCCACGGCGAGCCCTCCATCCGTTCGTACTTCGTGCACATCAATGAAATGTCTCGAACGTCGCACCTTTTATTTAAAGACGATAGTTTTTTTTGTTGTTTGGTTCACACATACTACTACATGTATATGGAATAATTTTGTTCGCGGCAAAGTTTAGTTCACAGGATGGTGTGGTCGATAAATAATTACACCAAGTCATGGTCCGAAACGTCAGAATCCATTTGGCCCGACGCACGCGCTTGCGATGGGCTCAAAGCTGTCGAACCTCAAGAAGGACAGCCACGACGCTACCACCACGGGTAAAGGCAAACCTGTGATCACGGTGCTCTATGGCTCTCAGCACGGCACGGCGGAAGGATTTGCCAAGACGCTGGTGGCGTCTGCCCAGCACACCCCGTTCACTGTTCGAGCCATGGACCTTGCCAAGCTCAACCCTTCGACACTACCAAAGATGGGCTGGGTCATCTTTGTGGTTGCTACGTTCGGCGATGGAGGGCCGACCGACAGCGCCGTCAAGTTCCACAAGTACTTAACGGATACATCGCTACCATTGAATTGCATGAACCAAGTCAAGTTCACGGTCTTTGGCCTGGGAAACAAAACGTACGCCACATACAACGGGATGGGCCGCATGGTCAACTCCCGCATGGAGAAGCTAGGCGCCCACCGCGTATACCGCCACGGAGAAGGCAACGACGAGATCTGCATCGACAATGACTTTGACGACTGGCGACAAGGACTCTGGGACGCACTGGCGGCCCAGTTAGCCCCCTCCCAGGTCCCCCGACGTCTCGCTCCTACTGCCAAGACGGCGCCGCCTTGCTTTGAGTTCGATGTGCTGTCATTACATCCCAAATCCAAGCTCGCCCAAGATCCTGTTATCGTCCACGGACTGAACTACTCCACCGCGACACTCGTGAATTCACGCGAACTTCGCCAGTCGACGTCATCGGGCTCGACGCTGCACCTCGAATTCGACATCAAGAACACGGGCGTGTCGTACGCAACGGCGGACAACCTAGCGATTTTGCCCGAAAACGACCCGGCGCTCGTCTCCCGCGTCGCGACCGCGCTCCGCTTCGACGAAGACGGCGTCGTGGAGCTCAAGCCTCTGGACAAGACGACCAAGCTGCCGTTCCCGACCCCCGCCACCATCCGCACCATCCTCTCGCGGTACTTGGACCTGAACGCGGCGCCGCGCAAAGGTGCGTTGGCGGCGCTCGCCCACTACGCGACGTCGGCGGACGAGCAGGACAAGTTGCTTCGTCTCGCGTCGGTTGATGGCAAAACCGAGTACCAGACGTGGGTCGTGGACGCATGCCGCACGTACGGCGACGTGATCGAAGCGTTTCCGTCGCTGCAGATTCCGTTGGCGGCATTTGTGCACATCTTGCCATCGTTGCAGCCGCGCTACTACACGATTTCGTCGTCGTCGCGGGTGCATCCCACCCGCATCCACGTTACGCTTGGTGTGATTGCGTCAGAGTTGCCGGGGGGTCGTCGGTTTAAGGGCGTCACGTCAAACTTCCTGGCCAACTTGTCCACCGTGGCCAAGCGTTTGCAAGTACCCCCCGTTGTTCGAGCAACCATTCGCAAGTCTATGTTCAAACTGCCCGCGTCGCCATCGACCCCCGTGATCATGGTCGGCCCGGGCACCGGCATTGCTCCCATGCGCGCTTTCCTGCAGGAACGCCATGCCCAGAAGGAGGCAGGCGAGAACGTCGGCGCTACCTGGCTCTTCTTTGGCTGCCGCCGCCAAGCCGAAGACTACTTGTACAAGGACGAACTGGAGGCGTACCGGTCGAGCGGCACGCTGACCGACCTCCACGTGGCCTTCTCGCGCGACACGCCGCAGAAGGTGTATGTGCAGCACTTGATCGAGCAGCACGGCGCGGCGCTTTGGAAGGCGTTGAGTGTCGGTGGGCATGTGTACGTGTGTGGGGCGACGCTGATGGGGACGGACGTGCACAAGGCGTTTGTCGAGTTGGTTCAGACGCACGGGGGCAAGTCGCAGGCCGACGCGGCCGCATTCGTCCAAGACCTGCAGCACCACCACCGCTACGTTCAGGAATTGTGGGCATGATTGGATGTCACCATGACCGAAAGGGCATAAACCAATTATATCACGTTATTTTGATTTATTGTTGTGATTTTATCCAATCAGAATGAATATTGCATTTTCTGAGAGGTCGCGGCTTGTTTCAGGTTTGGGAATGACGGAGACGCCGCGAGCCAAGTTCCATGTGCTCCGACCAGCGGCCAGCGTGCCGTCGTCCCCGGCGCGACCGCCTGCGTTGGGTGCAGACTCCGCCATGCGCCCAATCCTGCAGAGCAAGAAAGACTTCAGATCCCCACGTCGGCCATCCAAGTTGGTGGACAGACCGCACCCTGCTGACACGTACACTGTCATTTTGCCCGAAATTCACGACGCGGTCAAGCCAGGCAGTCGCGGGGAAGGTGATGGAGTCGACCTGAAGCACAGCTCCAACCAAGTCTTGCGGCCTCGATCGAACGGCCCCGAGGCTGGCGATGTCAGTGGGTTCTTTGGAACATCGAGTAGCGTTGGGGTCGTCACAACTGGCGACGCGACCAAGCCGCTACTGGCGAGTGATTTATACTTCGAGCTGCAAAAACAAGCCATGGGGATACATTCCCCACGACGCCGGCAGACTGCAATGGAACGACATTTGTACCATGACAAGATGCAGCAAAAGTACCACGAGATGCGGGTGCTGCGAGCACGGGTCAAACAACTCGAGGCAGACCTTGCCAAGAACTCTCTCAAGGCAGCCACGTCGGACGAAAGTCCATTTACAATGGACAGTGCCACCGAAACCCCGCATGTGGTGGACAAGGCGTCGTCGCCCGCGAAAACGTCGTCCAGCGCGGTCTCGTCGGACGCCGCCACACGCGACCGCATCCAAAAACTCGAGCGGCACTTGATGCAAGCCAAGAACGACATCGCGACGTTAAACGACGAGCTGGACGTAGCTCGAACAAATGACAAGGCCAAAATCGACACTCTCCAGGCCAAGCTCGAGTTGGAACGGGTGGCAAACAAAGTCCTTGGCGAGCGGGTTCGTCGCTGCCAGAAGATGCCACGACTCATGATGACGGGTGTAGGTGCACGACGTGGACGCGTCCCTGAAAGTGTGTGTGTCGAAACTCACCGAAGCAGAAAGCGCGCTAGCTCAAGAGCGACAGGAACGAGAAGCGATGATCTCTCAACTCACGGCCATGTCGCGGCAAGCTATATCCGACCATCGCCGTCGCGCCGTAAGCAGCAAGGTCAAGGGTGTGATCTCGTCCATGGGGAAAGGCACCCTTCAAACCAAGTTGGACGCGACGACACAGCGGCTAGTGGACATGGAGGTTCCCACCATGTTCCTACTGGGCTCCACTCACGTCGCATTCGTCATAGAATGCAATGAAACAAGTTCAAATGGAAGCGCTGGCATGGAAGAAGGAGGCGCTCCATCGACAAGCAATGCTCGCAGAAGCAGCAAGTGCTCGCATGACGCATCCTGAGATGACGTCGCCGTACGCTGCCCACGCATCCTGTTCATGTGGTGATCGCTTCGATAGGGCAATGACATGGAATGCAGCCATGTCCAGCGCCCAAGGGTCGATGATAGCCAAGTTGCTCGATCTGAACTACACCCACGGGGTTTCGGACCGCGTCCTCCCGCCTCATGTGGTCTTCCACGGCGGTCGGGTGATCGATGGCCACTCCCTGCAGCTCCATGTCGTCCACAGCAAAGACCCGTATGCATTTCACGTCGTTGGGTACGACAGCTCGACGGCCCAGGAAGACATGGTGTCGTTTTTCCTGGACGATCTGCATCGCCTCTTGCCCCACCGCACGTTTTTCGACGCGCCCGCCACTCCAGCACAACTGGCCGACCTTGTCAACGTCCTGTGTGGCCACTTGGCTGTGGGTTTCAAAAATGGCACGTTCTTCTTGGTCGAGCGGCCGCCATCAGTAGCGCCACCTCATGGCAACGACGACTATCCCAGCCATAAAGTGACATTGTACCGGGGCAACGGCACTGTCAGTGGCCACCACGTAAGCGTTGTTGTGAATGAACTGTACCGAAGCGGGTTCATGGAAACGTGGTCCCTCGAGGTCCTCGCGCTCTCCGTCGCGGACGAAATTGAGTGGTCGACATACATGAGCATGGATCAAGTCGCTCGGATTTGCCCGCACTTTGAATCGTACGTGCCGCATGAAGCCAAAGGTCACTCGTTGCCCCACTTAGTCGACGCAAACGAGTTGCTGCTGCAACCTCTTCTTGAGACACTGGCCATCGACTCGCACGGCCACCTCGTCTCGTTGGCAATTCCTTCCTTCGATGCGCTCCCCCCTTCACAAGTTTTCTCAACAACGCCGTCCGTCGCAGCCACGGCAGCAAGTCCTCCCCCGCTTCCAGCGTCCCCGTCGATGGCATTCCGCCACGACTCCCTTACGTCCATCCAAGGCACGTTGTATTATTTGACGCTGCGGGAGCTCTGGGATGGCACAGCGCTGCTCCAAGCGTCACTCTTCGATGCGTACCAAGATGCCCTCGTTGTTCACACGTGGAACGAATCGGACCTCCTCGCACTCATGCATTGCGCATCGGTGTTGGACCCGCCGCTGGCCGCGCAATTTACATTTCAACAAGGCATTGACGTCGATGTTCGGCCAACGCTCGCGCAACTGGTGACTGGGGCATTGCACGTCGCGCCCGGGAAACAATTGGAGCTACGATATGACCAACTCGCCCGGTCACTCCGCCCATCGATGGCACTGCGCCGAACAAGCATGTCCATCCCAGACAGCTCTGCCGACATCGACGTCGTCGGGCCCGTTAACGAAGCCGACGCCCACCGCACGCTGGGACAGCTAACGTATCCCAGGTCTGCGCGGGGTCTTCGACTACGGGACGGGTCGTTTGCGCTAGCCAAAGTGTATTGCACGAAATCCGCGCCCCAAAAAGCGTACGTGGTCAAGCTGACCCAACTGAGCGCCGCGGCCGTGACGTGGCTGGTCGTGTACCACCGCCTCCCGCTCGAGTTTGTACTGGCGATGTGGATGCCGTAACTTAAACATGCCATCTCGGGCGACACCACTTGCATTTGAAACGGGTTACTCCACAGTCAAATACGTGTGCAGCAGGTAGCTGGCGAGGTCGGTGGCGCCGCTTTGCTTGTATATCAACGACAAATTGTACGCGGTTTCTCGGCACAGCTGATACTCTGGCGCGACTTGCTTGCCTTGGTAGAATCGCAGCACGCGCTCGTACATGGCAATGGCAAGGTGGTTCAGTTCCTACGCATCCAGTCTGTGCGTGGGCGAGAAAAGGAGAGGTCGTTACCAGTTGGTGGTAGGCGCGCCCGATGTTGTACCAGCTCTCGACCTGGCCCAACTCGGACGTGAGTCCGATCGAGTTGGCTTCGAGTTGCTTGAAACGCGTTTGCTGGTAGAGCTGCAAAAACGCAAACGCCTTGGCGACGGTCATTTGCCGGTCCACGACCGTTCGAAACATCGACATGTTGAGGTAGCTCAGCCCAATGCAAAAGAGGGCGAGCGGGTCTTCTGGCCTCTGCAAGTGCGCGAGGGTGAGTTCGCCCACCGCCAGCTGCGCCGAATCGCTCGCGGACGAGTGGAGCCCCGCGAGGACCATCGCAGGGTAGCACTTGGGGTGCTGGCGCAGCACCTTGGCCTACACGTGTCGATATCTGGTCGAGCTCTCAACGTGTGATATATACGATACGAGGAACTTTTGGTGCCAGGAAAACACGCCCGTCTGGTTGATGACATGGCCAAACAAATTCCAGTACCCCACGTTCTCTGGTTCTTCTAGAATATTGAGGCGTACACACTCGTACGCCATGCGATTCTCCTTGTGCGTCAGGGCGATCGTCAGCGCCAAGAACCGCAGCTCAAATCTACGTTCCCATCGTCAGCTCTTCTCGCGAGACCGCACGACCCCACCGGAGGTTGCCGTCGGCGACTTTGTTGCTGCAGTTGACGTCAATGAGCAACTCGACAGCACAAATGTGTTTGCCCACGTCACACAGCGCCCTTGCGACATCGTGCACCATGGCCACGTATTCATGCGGTGTAAAGGCCCTGTCGACGAGCACCTGCTCTGTCACGCGCATGACGACGCCAACAACGGTGTCCCGTGACGTCGGGTCGCTCGGGTTTGCCAAGTACGAGTCCTTCATCGCAGACAGGACGTGGGAATGCGTCATGTTGAATCGGTCCAAGTCCCGGGCTTCCGCCGACTTGCTGTCGTAGTATCTCTACATGCATGATACATCTTCCGCTTCCATCATGCGTGGGCGTACATGTATGCGGCGAAGGAGCGACTTGCGGCCCAAGAGACGAGAATTTTGTTGCAACGACAGCAACAAGAGCGGGAGGCCAATTTTGACCATGGTGTCCGGGACTCCTAGAGCCACGACGCAACGATTTAGTTGCATTCACACGATCGAACCGCACCATTTCGCCACTGCAGGCGGCCATACACGAGAAACAGCTTCAGTCGAACCACGTTGTCCATGGCGTCTTCTGAAAATCCAATCTCGTCGCCCGCGTCCGTCGCACTCGTGTCGTCGTCTTCGTCGTCTTCGTCGTCGTCGTCCGTCGGGACATCCTGGTCCTGATCGTCGTCCGGTTTTGCTGCGGTAGACGTGGGGGCTGTCGCCCAGTACGGTCGAATCGGAGGGAGAAGGACAGCGTCCTTGACAAAGCGGAAGAATGCGAGGCCGCGTGCTGCCGCGTCAGTGTCGAGGCAAATGTGCATTGCTTCCAGGGCCAGCTACAACAAGACGTTCAAGGAAATGTCTGAGATAGGCAAGGGTACGTCTGGATCGGCCTTGCCCCCTTCACCACTCTGGAACGCGAGAGCTTGGTCGTAAAACTGCAGTGCCGTGTCGAGCACGCCCTGGCGCTTGTACGCGCGTGCCATCATCGAAAAGACTTTCTACCACGACATGGTTCGATATTGACTTTGCAACAACAAATGCATACGTCGTTGGCAAATGTTGGGCAAAGCAGTACGTTTTGCAAAATGTCAATGGCGGTGCGGTCGTGCGACTCGCCAGCCGCCACGTACGCTTCCGCAACGTCGATGTACAAATCGCCGTACACGTCGACTTCGTGGTGAAATCTGTGAAATGAAAAAAAAAATATGTTCACATCGAAAGCCACACACGTCTATCGGGAACGACGTACAGAGCGTCAAACATGGGCTGCGCCGTCGCGAGGTGGCCCATGTGGAGCTGGCAGATTCCATACTTGACAGCAATGTCGAGGGGCAAACTCTCCTCGTCCAGGGGAGCACCAGGGTGGTTGCGATGGTGCATTGCCTCAATGGCTTCCACGGCAGGTTGGTATCGCTTCAGGGTAATATACAAGTCCGACACCATGTTCACCGCATGCATTTCTACCGCAAGAACGGATTCAACGACCCAAGAAATGTAGGAGGAGTACCAAATTGAGATGCATCGTCGGGGTGCGTGGAAGCGTTCTGAATGCACTTCAGCAACGCGTCAATGGCTTCGTCGTCCTGGCTGTTGGCGTGATAGCACTCTGCCACTTGGAGCCACACGGACAAATCGGTCGGTGTCTGGCTCCCCATCGTGAATGCGCTTGTCATGGCAACCATCGAGTTGATCCTACCAAGTTGGCGATCTTCTTGAGGGTCTCCGCGGCTCGGCGGTGGTCGCCGCCTTCCTTGCACATGTCTGCGTAGATGTAGAGGGTGTCGATATCTTTTGGGTCTGCCTGAGTTGCCCTAACCAAGCACGAAGGCAGTCAACTTCGTGTCCTCAAGTGATAAACACACATTTTGAAGCAGAAGAGCGCCTGGTCCGCGATGCCTTCGTCCTTAGCCATCCCACCCACGCGACGCCATAGCCCTGCATCCTGCGCGAAGATGTAAACGTGACCAAGGCAAGGGAGAGATTTGCCCACCGATGGCGTCAACGAACAAGCGATCAAGTAGAACTGAATCGCTTTCGCTCTGTGCTCCATCTTCTCGTAGATCACGCCCAACGTGTGGTATGGATCGGGGACAGTCGGTGCTTTCTTAACAAAATCCTTGAGCATTGAAATGGCTTTGTCATGGTCGCCAGAAATGTACGCGGCATTTGCTTCCCCCATGAGCTCAGAGTATTCGGGCGGAACGGGATTCTTGACCCGTCGCCGCCGACTGCGTCGCCGTGAAGCGCCTCGTTTCCTTCCCCAGAGCTTCGACAGCATGTTATTCATCAAGTTGACGACTGATAAACGAATCGTACTTGACGCTCGAGGTCCGAGTTATCCTCGTCTTCCATCGTCAACTCCTTCGATGGAGCTTTTCGTTTGAGAGACGATCCCTTCTGGTCCTCTTCGTCCTCTTCGTACGCCTCGTCCGAGTCCGAACCGTCTTCATACATGGACCCGCTGCTCGGGACGTCCTCTTCATCTTCGCTCAGTGCCTTCGCCAACAACGTCTGGAACGACATCGCCTTCCGTCCTGGTTTCCCAATGCGAATGATGCCATGAATTTGCATAGACCAATCAAATCGTCGAGGTTCTAGATCTAGCCAATCACGAGCGAGATTGGCGAATTCGTCAAGTCGAGACCTGCCATGGGAGGCAATCGAGCCATTCTCCTCGTGCCCCTGCCGGCGTGGGTGGCATGGTGGTTCATGGTGGCAGTCGTATTGGTGTCTATTGATTGCACTTATGTGCTGGGTATGAAGTATGACGTCGTCCAGTATGTTCCTTCCCTCATCACGGACCTGTGGACCAGGTACGGCGAAAGCGACGCCCAGTACTCTGGCGACGGCGTAGGGATGGAAGCCAGCAATGGATGGATCATCACGCAAAGCCTTTTCAACGTCGCGGAGGTGTTTTTGATGGTCGTGTACCTTATTCGCCTTCAACAACGCACCATCACCGCGGCATTGACCGCCCTGACTGTGTCCGTGGCGACATTTTGGAAAACCTGCCTATACATGCCCATCATTTTGCACTCCGAAGACCCTGTAAGCATGGTTCCTTTGCTTCGCTGCACGGGAATGTCTCCGCTTGCGAAAAACGCAGCTCACGTGCAGGCCATGCTGGCGAAGGAAGGATGCGGCATGCAGTTCTTCAAGTTTCAATTCAACTTTTGGTGGATTGTCATGCCGTTCGCAGTCGCCGCCGCCGCGTGGTCCGCGATTTCGCATGCGGTGACAAAAAACGCCAAGACAGCGTGAAGTAGCGTGTAGTGCGTATATTGGTGCCCATCGACCCTACCTGGTGACGATCCGTCGACGAAACACGAACATTCTTTCGAAACCTTTCGTACCAAAGGGTTCCAAAGCCAAGGTGGATTCAAGCTCCCAGGAAGAACTCTCGAGGAGGTCGAAGAAGCGGCTGTCGGCGTTGGCCCCACCACGTCCTTCACCCACGTACACCAGAGCGTCGTTGGATGGGCTGCTCTGCATGTAGTTCGTCAAAGTCTTGAATGCCATGGGGCCAGGGTCGGGATAAACCAGCAACAGCACTCGACCGCGCAGGTGGCGATGGGTCACGAGGACGGATTCGTCCCCATCGACGACTCCAGAGGCGATGGGGCGACTACTAAGCGGGAGGGCCGTCATGTTATCGTACGCCAGGATGTCCACTTGGTAAGAACGCCGGAGGTGAGCAGCCCACTGACCATGCCCCGCGCCCACTTCGACAACTCCGCGACTTCGTGAGGTGTTCGTGATGAGTTGCATGGCTTCACGGGTGTACTTGACACATCCAAACTCCTCGACATGCTTATTGCGCATCTCTGGCGTAATGCCAGGACCATACGCGGCTTCCGCGAAGCGCTGTGGCATGGTGGCCAAAGTGACCGTGTCGTTGGACGCGACGGCGGCGCGAGCGGTAGCTGTAAGTGCCACGAACGCTACTTCGTCCTTCGCACGAGTCTCAAGCCCTTTGACGAGGCTGGGCCAAGACATGAGCCCTGTTGTGTTGGTTTTGGACGCGAATGCTGCAAAATGCTTGTCGTCGGCGCTTTTGCCACCAGATTGCAAGGCCCAATCCCTCAACGAGTATAGTGGTTGCAGGACGTTCCATGATGGCGATGGAGCCGCTTGCGGTGCACGCGAGTCGCTTGAACTTGATGGTGCGAGTGGTGTGGAGTTGCACTGCGCTTGTTTCGAAGTCAACAGCACGGTCAACACCGCTGAAGAGCTCGCGCTTGCGGCGCGAATGCACACGCGCCGATGCATGGCAATAACGGTGACGTGTGCCTTGATTGGCTGTAATCCTATGATATATAAAATTCAAGTCGTAATATCTTGACGTGACTATTGCTGTTCGTAAATTGAAAAAAACCATGCGTTGAAGTTGACAACGCAAACTCGTATAATTTGATTGGTTAAAATAGGAAAGCCAGTGTATTTCATCCAATCAAATGCAAGACTTCCAAATCCGATCCAACCCGCATCAGGCTCAAGTCGCTTCCACACGACGCGGCTGCACGACGCGACTGGATCCATGATGCGGAATAAAGTCACGGTACATGAAGGAGACGAACCCATGTGGACTGAGCATGCATGTGTGGGTAGCTTGCGATGGAAGCTGGAAAAATGCGCGACGCAGCTGCGCATGGCCACGAGGATCAGCCGCGTATGTCGTGTCATTCCGCCTCAACGTTGGGTGACGTTTCCGTAGATCGGCACGTGGGTGTGAATAAGTTTGAGCGCAAGCTCAAGTGGTTGTCTAAAGAAGAGCACTACCGAGTCCGCATCAGTCGGTATGCAGTCACCCACGCCACTTTTGTAACAACGAACTCAGGTGGTTGGACAATGGGGTCCTTGGCTTGGTCTTGGACATCTTGCAAGCCGTCGTGTCCATGGTTTTTGCCGCTTGCTACGTCATCAATTCGTATTCGCCCGGTCCAGGGGTGCGCACCATGAAAACATCCTTGCGCGCTTTTTCATGGACCAGACCATGGATGGATATAGGTGCCGGACGATGTGTGGACGGTCGAAATTTGTTGCGCGCTGTTCTTCTTGACCGACCTCGTTTCGCGGGGAATCCTCCTCGCCGAGTCGTTCAAGTCGATGCTGTGCTGGAACACGTTTATCAACTTTATGGTCATTTTCCCCGTGTACCCCGCCGCGATGTTTGTGCCGACGCAGTACGATTCGTTTGAAATTCTCTCGATCATGGCGACATAGTTCGTTTTGGCATGGCGGCGGGTACCTGCGTTTGATTTACCCGTTTCGGTTCCTCAAGTGCTCGATGGAGATCCGCGCGGTGCTCCACCGTGGACGATCGTTCATGTCGCCCGTCATGTTGTTCGGGTTGATGGCGTATTTTAAGTTTATGTCAGTGATCTTTGTCGCTGCCGGTGTCATTCAGGTGCGTTGCCACTCTCCACGTCGTCGTTGACACGCGCGCGTTAGATTACAGAAACATCGTACGATGCCGGGACGGACGTGACGAATGACGGCGACTGGACCTTTTTCAACTCGCTTTTCAAGTCGATCCTGACATTTGTGTATGTCGACTACCCGCCTGCCGAGAACCCCATCTCGAAAGTCATTGTCGGGACGTTGCTCGTGTTTCTGCTCATTATCATTCCGTACGAGCTCTCCAAGCTCTTCGACATCAACTCGCTCTACTCGTCGTACGAGCACGACGCATACCATCCATCCCATCACTCGAAGCACATTGTCATTTGCGGGGATTTGACTCCTCAACGCATTGAACAGTGCTTTTGGGAAGTACGTTCCTTGTTTCTTCGATCTGGCTGGTCCCGTGGCACTCACTGCGCATTGCCATGGCCTAGATCTTTCACGACGACCACGATTTGGTCGATATTCGAGTGGTTGCCATGTGCGATGAAGCCCCGCCGTCTTCTATGGTGCTCCACGATGATGATGAAACCAAACGTGCGTAACACGGCGTGGTCAGGTGGCTCTCCTCATGGACCCGTTCTTCGCCAAGCGCGCTGTGTACATTCAAGGCTCTGTCTTGGATGCCGATGCCGCGACCCGTGCTGCATGTGACTCGGCCGCTGCCATTTTCGTTTTGACGCGGAAAACGGGGCACGAAGACGTGAATGTGTCGGACCACCGAACGATCATGCGCGCGATTGAAGTCCGTCAGGTGTCCCCCGCCGCGTCGATATTCGTGCAGATCCACTTGTCGACGAACCGCCACTTGCTGGAAGCGTCGGGCATTTCAAACGTGCTGTGTATCAGTGAAGTGATGCACTCGCTACTGGCGCAAAATTGTTTTTGTCCTGGTTTTTCCACCCTCATGTTCAACCTCACGGCGGCGCTGAGGTTCGGCGCCATCCGTCGCCAGAATAGAATTTGATGGCGAATCGTAGTGACGTCCAAGTCGATCACACGTGGGAGTCGCGATTCCTTCATGGCGCGTCGCACGAGTTGTACTCTGTGACGCTACCACCCGCCAACGTAAGCGGTGCCGTGTTTGAAAGCATCTCATCCGTTGTTTGGTAGGTGGTGGATGGCCTCACGTTTGCAGAAGTTGCGGTCATGGTGCATGCGCAATGCCAGAGCGCGATCTTGATTGCCATACGTGTGCCTGTTCCTGAAGACGATGCATGCGAGAGTTCGAGCAGCGTCATTATTCTCAACCCAGGCAACTCGTACGTGTGCCATGGAAATGAAACGGGGTACGTTCTGGGTGATGCAATGCCTAGTGGCATGTGCCACCCATAAATCGGATTAGATACGTGATTGCTCGAGATCGCAAGCAGGCCGACATGGTCTACGGCATGGCGAAAGACTCGAATTGGGGCTCGTCGCATGCCCAGACTGTGTCGTCAACGTCGAGCGACCCCATGCTGCCGAAAGCATCCCTGCAAAGCACACAGCTCACGCCCGACAAAGTCTTGTCCCCCACGGCTGCCGCCCTCAACAAGGACAAAGTGAAGCACTTGTCCAACCCCAACATCAAACGAGGTGGGTATCGAACCAAGACTTTGGGAGACTGAAAGGCTTGATAGGTCCAGGTCCGCGAAAGAAGCGGACGGCACGGACGATCATGTGGGCCGCCGCCAAGCTCCAGGAAACGTCCGAGCGAAACAAGAACCGAAGAATGGAAGACTTTGTCGTCGACGACGTTCCCAAGCTCAACTTTCCCCTGAAGCCTATCGTGGTCGTGTCGCTCGGGTCTGTCTTTCCAGAAAACCTAGAGTTCTTCATCGCCCCGCTGCGCGCGCCGACGGTCAAGTTCGTCGCAGAGCTCTTGTGCGCAAAGTGCTGACCGTTGTACATGCAGAGACCACCACCCCATCGTCCTCATGTCGACCGAGCTGCCGTCGGAGGAAGTGTTTGCCCATATTCGATCGTTTCCCGACGTGTTTTTGGTCAAAGGCGAACCGACTCGGTTGGGGTCGTTGAAGCGGGCAGGCATTGAAATCGCCTTCAAGGTCGTGTTGCTGTGCAGTGAAGAAGACTTTGGCACGGCGTCGAATCAACTTCTGGCAGACGCGGTGAGGCCACGTCCTTCTCAACTTTTCGGCGATGGATGATTGCCATGTAGACGTCCATTGCGGTGCACAAAAGCATCACGTCGTTGCTGGGTCCTCGAAAAGCGCCCTTGGTTGTCACCAAGCTCGTGAACAGGTAGTTGCTATTACAACCGTCAATCGCCCAAACTGTGTGCTGCTGTGGTAGGTCGAACGTGAACTTTATTTCGCACAACCTCAAGCAGAGCGGTTGGTTCAGCCAGCAACGTCCTGCCGCTTCCACATCGTACGTGCGTTGGCTGTGGCGTGAACGTGAGGGGTTCGATGACCACAGGGATACAATCAAGTTTTTGTGCTCGCCGTCGTTTGCGTCTGGGCTTACGTACTCGACGGAACTGTGCGACAATTTGATCATCAACCACTTTTTCAACCCCATGATCAAAGATATTGTGCGAGAACTTGTGTTTTCACCCTTGCGCGAGGTGCGTCGGCACGCAAGCGGCGGTCCTCGTCATGACTCGATCCAACTAGAGCAAACTGTACCCCGGCAAGTCCAAGTTTTCGGCATTTGAGCGCAACTTTGCTGCGTCGGGGCTCCAGCGCAGTTCGTTATTCACGTGTGAATTGCCGCTGGATTTCGTGGGCAAAACGTTTGCGTACTGTTTCGAATACTTGTTGCTCAGTGACGCGATCTTGACGCTCGGGGTCTATCGGTGCCTCCCGCCGGATCTGGTCCCAGAAGTGTCGTCGTCCCCGCTGTCTCCATCCAAGTCCAAGGCCCGGATCGAACGAAATGAGACCGATCGTGCGGTTCCCTTTGGCTACGTCTATCTAAACCCTCTTGCCTCCGAGATCATGACTGGTAACGACCTGCTGTACGTACTCAGCCACAAGCAACCGTGCTGGGCCTAACGATCGAGTCGATCGCCATTTTGATTTCGCTCCCAGACAACGAGAATTTCATCCTTCATCCGAGTTTGCTTTGCCAGGACGCGTCCGCTTCAGGTCTTTGCTTGCGTTGGCCGACATGATTTGCATTGCCGCGGCCTTGTCGGGCAATTCAGCTTTGTAATTGCAGCACTGCACCGTCCCAGCATGGCCTGTTTGATGTCGTTGGCCGCCCCACCAACGGCACTTGCAGCAGAGCTTTCCATGTGCGTGCGACGTCATGCAACACGACAGGATATCACATCTCGATGCAAACTACGTGCGAGCCATGACGTAGGTCCTATGCCCTCGCCATCGTCCAAGCATGACCGGTACTTGAGTGCACAAGTTTCTCAATCCTGTAGCCTTACGGAGATGACTCCCAGCAAAGCAGCAGTTGTTTGCTGCCTTTGCAAAAGGCCAAATCGAGCAAGTTGTGTCGGTAGCCAACAGAGTCCCAACCAGGCAGCGTCCCAAGTCGACTGACGAAAGGTGTTGTATTTGGTTCTGGCTATCCAAGCATGACCTTGATGCCTTTTTTGTCAGCGCAGCCCATCGCACGCATCAGCACACTTTGCAGAAACATCGACCACAGGGTCACCCGTCTGGGGAGTCTACTCGACCAGTGCTGCCAATGGATGGTCCCAAACGACGTGCAGATGATCCAAAGCAGAACGTAGCCCACGGGAGACGATGGCGGACTGGGCGTTGCCACGGCACACGGTTCTGCTGCTCTGGCGGCCAAGCCGTCGAATCGCTTGCGTTTGTATCAGGCATGATAGCAGCTTGTGAAAGACGCGGTGGAGTTGCGCCAGCGCTGTTTCCACTTGATGGATGCGCGACCGTTGCAACGTCGACATGGCGGCCCACCTTTGCTCGTCTTGGCGGATTTGCATGAGCTGGAGCTCGAGCTCCATGGCCCTCTCGTGCAGTTTGTTTCGCTCGTTCACAAGGGCATCATGTGTGCGATATGCTGCTTCTGTGTGTGCCGCCAGCTGCGTTGTTCGGCCATCAAGTACTCCACAGCGTCTCGAAGTTGAGCATTGTCCCGGCGCAAGGAGGCCGACGTTGCACTCGACCGCATCCGATCGCTTTCGACATGTCGTACCCGATCCATGAGGTCTTGGTTCTGTCGAGAAAGGCACGTGACTTGGTGCTCACTGTCGATGGATATTTGAACTTGCTGCTGTTTTTCCACGCGCAGATTCGCCATTTCCTTCTCGTGCTGTCTTTGTCGTCGCGTGAGGTCGTCCAGCTGAACTGCCAACTCATTGCGCTCCCTTTCCATTTGAAAGTACTTTTCCGCGAGAAGGTTTCCATTTCGCGCTGCCAAGTCCAGTAGGCACCGCTGGTCGTGTACTTCTGCTAGTGACCACGACAGCTGCTCTCGTAAGGTTGGCTCGTTGTTCTCAGAGGAGCAAGAACATGCCTCCTCGAGCTGCTTCAACGCACTTGGCGTCCCGATCGAGCTTGTAGTCACGTCCAGCGGCATCGTGTTGAGTGAATGCCACAAACAAACTCGAGGGCGGCGATCGGTTGCGTGCTGCGTCGGTGCAATTGCACGAATCTATTTTTAGTACTCATTCTTGAAATATTATGACGCATGGTTTGTATACTGCGTAAAAAAATCTTACGTGTATATTGGGAGGTGGAATTTCTCGCTCCATGTTGTCCCCAAGACGCCGCTCGGTGCCAAGGCCGAAGAGGTGTGGATCGGGGGCGGTGCATGTGCCATGCATTAGAACCTGTTGCAGGTGACAACTCTTTTGCCGACTCCACGATTGCTCCGACCACTCTGATGGATTACTCGCTCGCGACATGCTGTTCCTCACATGGAACGGTGAGGAAGTCCACAAGGGCCATGCCGCGACTGCTAACTGACTGATGGAATTGCCGCGCCAACTTGGGATGGTGGTAGAACCAGTGGATGCTGTCCATTACCGCGTGGTTTGGAATCGCCTGAATACGTTCAATTGTCGACATGTTGGAGATCAGTTGGAGGTATGGCTCCCATGCGGTACAACACCACACCGCGGCGAAGCCCGTCGTCAAGTGTCAGATGGCCTGGAATGTACTTGGGCAACGACTTCAGCTCGAACGTCTTGACCCCTGTGCTCAGGAGGAGGTGATTAAATTGGCGCACACCTTGCACAATCCACCGTGTCGAGAGCTCCACAAATCTAGCGTCCATCGCGTCGTCAAGTCGCCCAAGGCCAGCATCCATTCGGTCGACCCGGGCTTCGATTTGATTCTGACGTGCAGTCAGCCAACTCGCTACTACTTCCTCCCATGGCGTTTCTTGTCGGTTCACGGTGGTCTTTTCGAAGCCCGCCGTGACTTGGTGCATAATATCATTGGACGAAGGTTCCACAGAGGTGGCTCGAGTAGAATGGCCCATCACTGTGTCCGAGTCGGACTGAGTTGCCGTCGTCGTCTCTGCCCCGACGATGGATGGAGACAAGGGCGTGATCATGAGCTACCTCCCTCGTCAATGCAAAAATGGCGAAAAATCCATTCTTCTGACTATTGAATGGAGGTAGCATGGCAACGGACGAAAGTCCCTACATAGCGTCGAAAGCAAAACCATTTCAAAGCATCGCCTCTCACCATCCTGCACCAAACACGTCTAACGGTGTGTGAAGGTGTATCGTCGTCATCATGGCATCAAGGACTCGTAGTTTCCTTCGCTAAACTACACCCTTGTATCGTCGACACAGGGATGAGCTTACCTGAAGGGATGAGTCATAGTCACTCCAGCATCACTCAATTCCAGGCTCCACGTGTGGAATGAAAGGTATTCCATGCTAAATTCTGAAGGGAGCACTGCCAACGCTTGCTCATGAACTGGAAGCTGGCTCGGCCCCGCGGTGGGCGAGAAAATGCAAGCTCACAGTATTTGCACAACTGCCACATCGCGGAATATAGTGTGAGTTTGTGTAACTATCGCTGGTGATCGACGCAAGATGGCAGGTCCGTCGTCACCGACGACACCAAGCAGCCCCTTTGACGACTCTGCTGCCGTCGTTCAGTCCATGCTCACTGGCTTTGCAGCTGGAGGTACATGAACCTATTGCATAGACGATTGTTGTGACCAGTTTGACCTGCTGCAGGCGCCGCTGGAGGAAGCTGGGGTGCACTGCTTGCCGTGGTACGAGGTGAACCGGTGGCCTTCTACGCTGCCTCAGTTGGGGCCAACGTTGCGGTTGTGTCTGCAGCATACGTGACTTTCCACGAAATCATCGCAAAGCGGCGCGGCAAGCGAGATCTGACCAGCTACGTCCTTCCTGGAACCATTACTGGTGGAGGTCTACTCGGGCTTGTGGGCTCACCAATTCGTGCCGTCCAAGGCGCCGCAGCGGGGTCAGCCCTCGGGGCAGGTGTCTTCTTCGGTTTGAAATACTTTGACGAGTGGCGGCAAGCCACGGCCATTGAGCGGTACATCGCAAAGTACGGACCGGACGCGATTCACGACCTGCCGTCGCATGCTGCAGCCTCCTCGACTCCGTTCCAGGCCCCTGCAATCAGCAGCATCGGGTTGCAAGGGCTGATTCCGTCCTTCGTTGACATTCCCGAAGACGAAATCGAAGCTCGTATTCAAGCCCGCCTCCAACAACTTCTTCAAGATGACATTGCCACCAAAACTGGCCCAGAGTAATGCACTCCACAGAGAAAACGTCGTCGTTTCCATCTCACGACACCGAATGCTCGAAAGTACATCAACAGCACGACCACGGCGACACATTATTAGGAGGTTGAGTTCACATTGTCAGGGCAGGTCGCCTGCAAGCCCCCGAGACGTGCGGCCACCACGTCACCCACCTCCACATTTTGACTTCGCCTAAGTCGCAGCAAGCATTTGATTCACATACGTGTCACGCAGCCAAAGCCAAGCCAAGGCGTCAGCCGGTAGTCTCGCTCATTGTGTGTTGACGTTGTGTCTGGAGATCGCGTGGAAGGAAGGTGTGTGGCTCGAGGCTTGCTCTAATGGATGAGGGCATACAGTGCGAGGACCATGTCAGTCCTCGCAACGGTGCTGCAGCCATACGCTAATGACACATGCTCGACTAAAGAAAACAGGAAGTCGACTCTGTGGTCGACAACTTGGACGAGTGACAACGGAATTCAATCCACCCAGACGACCCTTCCAGAGAAGGCACGGCGGCTTCATAAATTCCGCCCGGACAGAAGACGCCAGTGGCGCCCGCCACAGAGATGGCGAGGCCAAATGGCAGTCAACCCAGAAACGGAAACAATCGCAAACCCGATTATCCAAAGTTAGTCAGCACCGACGCGCCCGTGCCGCTTACTCTTCTTGTTCGATGTTGCCCTTCTCGGACACGTAGATACCATCCAAAAACTTACGGATATCCTTTTCCTTGACCAAGCACGCTTGGGTGATGTTGGCAGCGTCTTGCGAGACCTTGGCAAGGTCGATGCCGCTCAATTCGATTTGGTCCTTGACATCGGCGGAACGGACGTAGCTCACGCCTTCGGACAAGGTGACACGGCGCACGCGCTTTTCCCCCAAAAAGTTGCGGATTTCGACCGTGTTCTTTTCAAACGTGACGTTGATGGGAAAGTGGGCGTACACGAAGCGCATCTTGTATTGGAAACCGACACGGACACCCGTGATCATGTTTTCAATGTGCGAGCACACCGTGCGCACGCAAGCCAATTGCTTGCGGTTGCCGAACCACAAGTCGACGCGCAACGTCTTCTTGTTGACGCGGCGCAAGTCCAACGTGACGTGCGAGAAGTCGCGGGAGATCGTGCCGCGCTTGCCGGTCACGGTGACCTTGCGTCCGTTCACGGAGAACTTGACGTCTTCGGGGATTTCCACAAGGCGGGTGCTGAGCAATTGGCGCATCTTGGTGTTTCAGATTCGGTGCTGAACGAAAATGACATCGACGTCGCCGCCAAGTCGAATTCTCACGACGGTGCTTTGACTGGTGAGCAGTTTTTGAATTTTTTGACCAATCCAGCACCAGCAATTCGTTTCAAGATTACGGATTGGCTAAAAAGATGGAGCTTCCTTTGAATGGCACTGCGGCATTCGGATAATGTGGACATATAACCGGAAGAGAGGGAAACGAGGAGGGGGGTCGAACTGATATCAACACGAGGGCAAGCCACAAACCAGTCTCTGGCATGACCTTGAGTGGTTCCAACACACCGTTGCAAGGGAGGGGTTGACACTTGCGAGTGCGCATGGCTCGGTGGGGTTTGCATGATGGAACAGCCATCCGTGTCGATGGAGAGGTTCGAAGAAGGACATTCCGCCTTCAAGGGGAGCGCGTCATGGCAAACCATGGATATCCTACGTAACGTCGACCGTCATGCGGCGACGGCGCTGTGCCGCTTGCGCCGTCGTTGGCTGCTTGGAGGTTTCACAGCCACGGTTTTTCTGTCGTGTGACTTGATTGGGCAACGAAAGGTCACCAAACGTTCGCAGCCAATCAGGGGCGTTCGCGCAGTGGTTTCAAGCGTCGGTTCGACAGGGCAAAGTTTCGGGGCCAATTGCAGACACTCGCAATTGTTGGGCGCCAATTGCGGGCGATCCATGCCTGGACGCCCCTTCGCCGCAGCACCACGAGAAACCATCGAACGATGCCCTTACTTTCCGATTCGAGTTGTGACAGCAACCAGCACCAGTCGTCATGTACCGATTCCTTTCTGTCGCTGCCGGTGCTGCGACCATCGCGTCGGCGGCTCCATTCAAAGGAGCCAACAACTACAACGGCGACAAGTATGACAACGACGGCAAGTACGGCTACAGCCCGAACCAAGTGTCGTTTGCCCCTGCATACCAGATCATCGACCCGAGCTATGCATCGACGATCCTGGCTCGCTACCAAGAGTGCGTGACGAAAAAGTGCTCGACGTTGCCATCAGGCTACTCGTCCACGTCAGTGGAAGACAACTTGAGCTCGATCGCGTCCTACACGTCGTGCGTGACGTCGTGCGCTGGAGCTGAAGCGTTGCAAACCACGCAGGATTTCCAAAAGTTGCTGGGCGAAGTGCTCGAGATCGGAGCGAGCCAACTCAAGACAGTGCGCAAGCACTTGAGTGGTCAAGACGCTTCGTTTGATGCGATTCAACAACGTATTCACATCGGCGAATCGTGCTGCCTTCCCAACGACTACTTTGCCGAGTGGTCTCGCATCATGGTCCCGGTCAAAGTCGCCGACTTCAAGCCGTACAACCCGCCACGACCCCCCCGTCGCAAACGACCGACAGGCTCAAACGGAGGCAAGAACCCGAACGTGGTCGTCGAGCAAATCGACGATGGTTTCGACGGAAACGATGACGATGACTTGATCGGAGATGACGACGACGATGACGACGACGACAGCGACGACGAGGACTGGTTGCCCCAAGACGAGGACGACGATGACGACGAGGAATGGCTCCCCAGCCGTCCTATCGATGTGTCCAAGCGCGAACTCGTCGATGACGAACCTATCCTTTCTGCCCCTCGTCCTCCTCGTGGCAGGACCACTCCCGTCAACTTTATGATATCGGCCCCCGAGTACGTCGCCCACTGCACAAACCGGCGCACGAGTTTGTCCAAGAATGCCCTCTACGACGCCATCGAGTGCGACGATCGATTGAACCAGTACCTCATCTTCTTGCAAGCGAACGTTGGCCACTTGATCTTGAGCCCCGACTGCGACGACCGAACCCCTGACGGTGCGTGCTGCAAATCGGCCAGCGCCAACCCCCGCGCGACCCCGTTTCCAACGGACGTGTGCGTCGCGTACGAGTCGTCCCATGGCGGCAAGGTCGCGACCCTCTCCGTCCCGTTCGTCAAGCCAATTCAGTTTCTCAATGGCCGGCTCACGTGCCCCAGTGACGTTTTGGAAAAAGTCCCGATCGGCACCGGCGACAGCAAGCCCGACTACATTGTCAAGTACCAACGCGTCAAACAACGGGATTTGAAATATTTCACTGTCATGTCGGGGCTGCCGAGCCAAGTCGAGACGAAAGACTTTGTCACAACATGCAAATACGAACAGGGGTTTGTCGGCACCAAGATCGACAATGGTTTCTTCACCACGAGTGGCAAATCGCCTTCGGTCGGCGACATTGACGCCGCCAAAAAGTGCCCCACTGACGGGCTCTTTGAGTACTGCAGCTTGGACCAGTACGCGAGCTTTCTCCAAACGCAACTGTTTGACCACTCGGGATGCGATATCTCGGAGCTGCGCTCGCAACACACGGACTCATCGTCGGCGTACCAAACCGTGGCATGCCTGTACAAGATCTTTACCCTCAAGTGCGACTGCATGGAAGCCGTGTTGAACTGCTACACGCACGCGTCCAAGTTCGACAACGCGCTATCCAAGACAATCGGCCATGCCGCGTCCATCTTGTGCGGGTTCATTTTGTGCCAGCAGCCCAGTGTGTACAGTCTCTTTGGCGAGCAGTTTGCGATTGATCACGCGATCCTGATCAAAGAGTTCCTCCAGTCGGCGGGCTTGATGTCGTCGCAGGTGACCCCCGCCCTCACCATGTTGGTGTCGTTTGGGCTCGGCATGATGGCGCTGGTCGCGGCAAAGAAGGTGAAGGGCCACGGCCCCGTCAAGATTGAAAATGGCTACCAGAACCTTATTTAAAGCTCTGCGATGATGCATATCGGGTGCCGTGCGAGGGCTTTTTACCGTGTCGAAATTTGAATGTAACCATGTATGAACAAACGACGAGTGCATTTGCCAACGTTAGTCGCCCAAGTGCTCCAGCATCTCTCGCACGGCGCGGCACTCGGTCGGGTACGCATACATGCAAATTCGGTCCACCATGCCGAGCATGGCTTGCCGCGTCGACGGAAACGTCTTCATGAACGCAGCATCTCGCAACAGACACAGTTGGACGCGCGTCAGCGCTGCTTCGTCGCGGGAAACGCAATAGTGCATCCCCATGAGGCCTACCAATGTTGGTGCCACCCGTGCGGACCGGAACACGTCATGCGAGTGCCACAACGTGCACCACGCGTCGACGTCATGGCTGTGACTCTGCTGCATGGCAGTTATGGCTCGATCGACGAGCTCAAGTTGCTCGAGCACTCTGAGCAAATTGGACTCGATCCACGAGTGGTCGTGGGTGACTTCAAGGCGAACCACAACTTTGTGGAGGGTGCAACACAACCACGATGCAAACGGCTGCGACAATGTGGACGGGATGCAAAAGAGTAGTGATGTCACCCACGGTGGCAGGATGGCGATTCCTGACGCCACAGCAAAAACACACTCTTGGAGAAGTTGCCATCGATCGCCGTTGAATTGCAACGGGAGGTACACAACTGCGATCGTTTGTCGGCCGTATGCTTCCCAGTCGACGTCAACATGCGCCATGACTGCCAGCCAGCTTGCAAAGTCGAGGAACAAGTTTGGTTCCCGGTTGGCTTGACGTGTTCGTGCCGTCGAGGACACCACCGTTTTGGTCCACAGCCCTGTCGCGTTGGAATAAACAAACTGCACCGCTTGCGACGCCGACGAAATGATATATCCGAAGCGTGCCACGAGACCAAACGGAAGCGGCGCCGTCGGATAATGGTCCAGCCCTGGCCACAAGAGTTGCAGCACGCGTTTCCAGCGGGGATGGCCGTCAAAGTCCAGCAAGATGGCAACGACCCCGGCCAAGGTATAGTTGGGCCGTTCGACTTGGGCCAAGAAGGCGCAGAGATCGTCAGAGGATCCTGAGGTTGTCATGGCTAAGTGAACGATGCGGCTGCAGAGAAGAGGGTGGTTGAACACGCTTGAAAACGACAGGTCGGGGCACAGCGACGGCAAAAAGAAGCCCTGGTGGATCCCGGTGCGGAGGAGTGCCGCCTGCAACGCTTCGACGCACGCATGGACGATCATCCGCTTGGAAAATCGACGCCACACCGTGATGACGTCCGTACGCCTCTCTGGATGCTCGAGCATGGCTGTGAGGAGGACTTGGGTCAGTTGCCGCAAGTCAGGCTGCACACCTTGTCCATCGATGTATCGCCGCACTTGCATTTCGAGCCGCAACGACGAAAATGGCGGAGCCAACGTCGTCGAGGTCAAGTATTCGTGCAAAGTCGCCGGTACGGGATCAAACGGCAATGGAAAAGTGGTCGAGGAGCGACCCTTGGACGGCGCGGCAACCATCCACCACGCGACGCAGTTTAGAAAAAAGTGCCACTGGAGCCTCGACTCTGGTGAAAATGTCGGCTTCCATGCCTCGGTCAAGACGATGCTGAATCGAATGTTGTCGCAAAAGAGGGCGTCCTGGGCTGTGCAATACGCAAACAGTTCGTATGCCGTGTGGAGAGGCTGGTGGATAGCCTCCAATTGCGCGAGAAACGCCGTGACGAGTGCGCTCGAGTGCGAAATCAGCGGACTCGATTCGAGGGGCAATCCCAAACGCTCGAGGCACTCCACCAACTTGCTTCGCACGTTCGCGTCGCTGCAGTGGACTGCACATAAATCAACGACGTGGATGACATACACACGCCGTCGAGGGGCAAGGGCTTGCGACAGAGGATCCCCAAGGTACTGAACGAGTTGGTGAAACCGGTCAAACTGCGCGAGGAAGTCGCTGAAGCTTTGGGCAGTCGCCACGTCGATCGATTGAAAATCGCACGAGAGGCAGATCGCCAAGTGGAAGGCTCGCGTCGTGTCGAGAGTGATCCAGTGAAAGAGGACGTCCGTGACTAATTGCTTTAGCGCCGACCGCTCCGGAGCGAGTGCATGCACCCACCTGGCGCCTTCGTGGCCTTGGCCAGACACGCACGTAGCAAACACTTCAGCCCACACACGGACACTCGATACGCACGAGATCAAGTCCCCGACGTCGGATGGCGGCAGCGTCCACCAAGAGCGAGGATGGCTCTTGGCAGATCTTGGCTCGAGGATTGTTGAAAAGACTTGGACTATGAACGACATGATTTGGTCACGATAGAGCGATGAATCGTCCATTGCTTCGACGGCGGTTGCCAGAGCTGTAAGGGACGAGATGGAGGTAGTGGAGTCGAGACAAGCCTCCCACAACCGTCGAGCAGACGACCAGGCCAACTCGGTCGCGAAGAGTGCGAGTGCAACGTCCGCGATGGTGCACATCAAAGCCAGTAAGCTCGAGTCGTGGTGCACTAACTTCTCCACGCAGTCGTGGATCAGGTCCAGCGCCCATTCGGCAGGTCGACATCGATGCCAACTCCACAGAGTCGGAGTTTTGGAGTGGCCAACGCAGGCCAAGGTTGCCGCATAAATGGCTTGGACACAATCCAGCGGAGAGAAGGCGCTAAGCAATGCTATTTCCACCGCCATGTCGCGGCTCGTAGTTGCAGCCGTGGGCACGAGCGTGAAGGATCCAGCGGCTTCCCACAACACTGCAACAACGTCGCTGAAGTAGACGATCGGGCTTGTTTTCAAAACTTGGTACGGCTTGGACAGACACAGCCTCCACACTATCATCTGTCACGGCTCCCATGGGATGGAACGACAATGGAACTTACCGGCGGCATGGAGGTGCTGCCAGCGACTCAGTACGGCCATGACTGCAGGAACTGCAGAAACAGGAATGACAGATAGCTTATCCGTGCTAGCATTCGAATTGAGCGACGCTCGTTCAACCAACCGACCAAGGCGGACGTCATGTGTTGTCGACATCGGTTGCTGGTGCATTTCAAGGCTGCGACTCAGCGCGGTCATGTGCATGAGTGTGGACGGGTGCATGGGAAAGTCAGCTTCGAGGACGCCGTACGCTTCGTCCAGCCACTCGAGCACAGGACGGCGAACGGCGAGACCTGAAACGAGTGCGATTTTTGTTCGATACTGCAAATCACTTCCGCGGAGGAATGGGATGACCCATGCAACGTCCAACGAACTGACGACGTCCTGGAAGAGTTCGTCTTGTGCAACTTGAAGGAGGACCAACGCACCTCTTCGCGACGGCGACGCGCGCCATGCACACACGACATGTCGAACGAGGAATGGCAATCGCTGGAGGACGTTCAAGGCTTCATGCAGGGCGTGACTTTCGCTGTGTTCTTCCACAAGGACTTGACTCACATTCACGGCTATGGTTTCCAAGGTTGGCGAGCTGTTAGCGGTGTCGCCATTGGCTTCATCGTCCATTCTCCGATCTGCAGGTCCCGACAGCACGCTGCCGATGGAGTTAAAATATCCGGAATCCGAATAAATTTGCACGAATCAAATGGGAAGTTGAAGTAAACGATCCGGTATTTATCCGGATGACCTTAATGTCCAACCATGAGCTGGTCGCCCCAGTCGAGAATGCTTCGACTTCCTGGCCGCCGTGCGGCGATGCTCGCACGCGTCCGTCGCCCTCTGCTTCAAGAACGCTTAATGGTGTGCCAGGTTGAACCACACCAAACCATTCGTATGGTGGCCCCACTACAACAACGCACATTCTTCAATTGGCTCGGACGTGAAAAGGAAAAGGAGCACATCGCGCCCACGGCGCCAGTGGACGCTCCGGATGCAGCAATCGACGATACATTGACACAGGTTGCCACAAGAGCAACCAAGATTGAAGAGTTTTTGACGCAAAAGCAAGCCAACATCGACTACTCGTTGGGGAAGTTTGCCCCGTTGGCCGACGGCAGCGTCATGGCACGATGGGGTAATTCCATGGTTTTGACCACCGTCGTGAGTGCACATGCAACGGACCCGGCGGCGGACTTCCTGCCACTCATGGTCGACTATCGCGAAAAATTCTCGTCCACCGGTGCGCATCCTTCTCAACCGTTCCATTGCACTGACTCGGATGTAGGCACTATTCCTGGTACTTTCAAGCGTCGCGAGATGGGATCGGATGCCGAGGTCCTCAAGAGCCGTGTGATCGACCGCATCGTTCGGCCTCTCTTTCCCAAAGGATACAGCTTTGAAACGCAGATCTTGGCGACGGTCCAGTCGTTCGATGTCGACCACGACCCTGTTGTTCTCGCCGTCAACAGGTTCGGCCCACTGCTTCCGTAGCGATATGACTTCTTGACAATAACTATGGCAGCACGTCCGCGGCGCTCATGTCGTCCAACATCCCGTGGAATGGCCCCATCGGGTGTGTTCGCGTCGTGCAAGTTGGCGACGACCTCATTGTCCACCCCACAGCGGATGAGGTCAAGGCCGCGACCTTGGACTTGCTTTATGCAGGCACTGCGCACCGCACGATGATGATTGAGGCGGAAGGTCATCAAGTCCCAGACGCAATCGTCCAGGAAGCACTTCGTCTAGCCCATCGCCACATTCAACCGCTCATCGAAGCGCAGCTGAGTTTGCCGCAAAAGACCAAGCGCGAGTTCTCCCCGCTCGAGATTCCTCCAGACATGACCGCAATGGCAGCAACGTTGCGCTCGGACATTCGCGCATTGCTTGGAAGCTTCCAGCAAACGAACAATTCAAAAAAGGACCGCCAAGCCCTCGAAAGCAAATGCTACAACGTGATCAAGGACAAACTCGTGGCAGCTTTTCCCGCGTACACCAAGGAGAGCCCCGTGGTGAACTCTGTCGCACACGACTTGATTCAAGACGCGCTTCGGTCGAACGCTTTGGCTGGAATCCGCTTGGACGGGCGCCCCGACACCGCGGTTCGATCGCTCGACATGGAAACGTCAGTGCTGCCAATGGCGCACGGGTCGGCGCTCTTTAGTCGAGGCTACACGTCCGCGCTGTGCACCGTCACGTTGGGAAGCTTGGACTTGGCGGTACCCTGTGCACACGTGTTGGCCATCACGTTCGTCACGAAATATTGTAGATGCGCGTGCGGTCAGCGCTGACTGACAACGACAAGTTTGAATCGAAGCGGGCGTTCTTGCAGTACGAATTTCCTCCGTACTGCGTCAACGAAATCGGCAAGCTCGGCGCGCCGAACCGCCGCATGATCGGGTACACGTCGTCGTTGGGAAGATGGGTCGGTCTTGACGACGTCGTTGCAGACATGGAGCGCTCGCGGAGAAGGCAATTTTGCCCGTGCTACCGCCGCTGGCGCAACTGCCCAACGCGATCCGCATGACGTCCGAAACACAGGGTTCGGATGGATCGAGCTCGATGGCGACGGTTTGTGGGGTGTCCCTCGCTCTACTCGACGCGGGCGTTCCCATCACTGCTCCTGTCGCAGGCATTTCCATCGGGTGTGTTTATGTAACAATCATGTTGGACGTTCGATTCCGACTCACAACTGCGACGCATCCATCGTCAGGCTTGTCAGCGGCGGCGATCTCACGGATGGCATCTCCCCCATCGAAGGTTTGACGACCAGTGTGAATACTCGCCGACATCTCACGTCCTTGTTTGGTAGAGTACCGCCTCCTCACCGATATCTTGGGCACCGAAGACCACTACTTCGACATGGACTTCAAGATTGCCGGCACCGCGAACGGCATGACAGCGATGCAATTGGACGTCAAGTTGCCTGGTGTGCCGGTCGAGATTTTGTGCGAGAGCATCGAACGCGCGTCGTCTGCGCGAGGTCACGTACTCACCGAGATGGGCAAGGTGCGCGTCGAGCCACGAGCGATCCCTCTCCCTTCCATCGTACGTGTGCATCTCGCAGACTTTGCTGCAGTCTAACAAAGCGATGGTGTGCTCCAGGGGTCGTCCATCATCCATCACGTCACATACGACCCGTCGATGCGTGGCGTGTTGATCGGATCGGGCGGCGGAACGATTCGCGAGCTGGAAACGCAATCGAACTGTGCGATTCACTGCAAAGAAGGCGGTTTGGCCGAGATCATTGGTAAAACAGAGGAAGACGTGGCGCTGGCGACGCGCCTCGTCCAAGAAATCACGTTTGTGTATCGGCGCAATCAACGGTACGTATTCCTGTCGTACTGCGTCGTGACGTGGTGCACCAGGTACAACGTGGTCGTCCAGACCGTGATGGACTTTGGATGCATCGTCGTGCCCGAGTTTGCCTATGGCACGCCCCAAGCGCTGGAAAAATCCAAGCAAGCATTCTTGCACGTGACGGAAATGGCGCACACCCCCGTGAAGCGAGCCAACTTGGCCGTGAAACCGGGTCAAGTGTTGGAGTGCTGGTGCATTTTTGCCGAGCGCGACATGACCAAGCTGTCGATGAAGGTACGACTCGAATCGTTGTTGTGTCCCGCAAGTCAATCGATCGTATCGATCGTTGGTAGGCCCTGGTCGATCCCGACACGAACAAAGCGTTGACCGACGCCGAAGCCATCGACCAACAAGTCAAGCTAGAAGAAGCCCTGAAACGCAATCGAATGACATAATACAATTTTAGACCTGCCGCGGTGGATCGACGTGAGAAGGGTGGTAGGTGTGTGGCGTCGACACCGGCACGTAGCTTCCTTCCATCATCGACTTTAACTTGCCGTGGAACCATCGCATGAAGCAGACCCCGACAAAGAGAGCAAACAAGCCGAATGCACCGCCGACCACGATGACGACCACGTCGCGGGATGGGTTCAGCGTCGGCGATGGCACGACGGGTTTGTTGTTGGTGGGGAGCGGAGTCAACGGCGCGACCTTGGTCGGTGATGAGGTCACGATGGGCTGGGCCGTCGGCGCTTTGGTGCGACTGGCCAACACTTGTAAGTCCCTGAGCCAGGACGCCATCAGTTTGCTGCCCTCGGGACGACACCACCCCGTGCCAAGCACAACCAGCTGGCATGGCACAACGAAACTCCCGTCGGACGCAGGACACGTCCCTGCCACGGGCTCCTGGATGGGAGAAGCATGGATCGCGGCATGCGTGGAGTTGGCGCTGCGATGTAACTGGGCAGATAGCTCAGGGATCGTGGTGCTGGGTAGGGTATCTTGGGACCAAAGGCTCGAGTTGGAGACCGCTGGCGGAGCGAAGACTTCGATAGCACACTTGAGGGGCGTTCGCAGCTGGGTCGGCAGGGACGTATTCAAGCGAAGGTAGTATTCCCCAACTGCATTCACACAAGTGTTGAGCGTCACGCCCAAGTCGCTCGATCGAAAGGCAATCGACGACATCGGAGCACCAACATCGACTTCGCCGCCCCAGCCACACGGCGTCAAGACTTTTGCAAACTGCGTCGCGGTAACGCGAACGTACCCTGCGTCCCAAAGCAACGCTCGTTGTGCGAATGTGTTCAACGTGGTCCAGGTCAGGTTGGTGCCCTGCAGCCGCGACAACACGTCACTTGGTACCGATGCTGTCAGCGCTGGTGGTTGGGACAGCAAGCGATCGTACAGGAATTTGTACCTCGCAACAAAGTCGGACGACTCTCTCCATCTCCCGGGGGTGTCTGGAGGGGTCGTTGTCGGCGGAGCCGTGATGATCGCCGGCACAGCGGTGGTGTTGGCATCGTCCATCGTTGCACGCACGATTTCAAACGCCCACCGTTACCGAATCATCGCACGGGACAAACCGGCCAATGGCGCTTAAAACCTTGTTCGGGTAAAAAAAATATTTACACTGTATAAAAAAACTATTCAGACCCCACGTAAATGCGACGACGTCAGTACGGAAAAGAGTATTTTTACAAATTACTCTTTTCCGTATTTCATCACGTTGTACTGGATTTTGTCGTGGCGTCGATACAAATTTCACCCACGCTGACTTGGCTCCGGGGAACACTTGAGCAGAACCCGAGTGAACAAAACTGCAGCAGCATTGCCAGCCAGAACATCGCACAGTCGAAAGTTTGTTGACCGCGTCGCCATCGTCCAACACGCCATCAGGTCCCAGCAGACCAAACAGTCGCGAAGTTTGCGGTTCACCACGAATCACAATTTTTTCACGACATGTCACTTGCCGAAAGGTCGGCGGAAGGGTGGCATGTCCAAATCCAAAATTTCGGTCGAACAGTAAACAATTTCAAAACATTGCGTTGAAAAATAAATGAAGATTCCGAAAAAGACTCTCAGGAATATTGGCCAGGTGTTTCAGTATCAACACATACAAGTGAGCACTGACTGCACTCTATTCACTATTCGTGCACGACAATTCACGGCATTTATACCGCACGTCCTGACGCTGGACTCGGTGCCTTGGCAGCCCATGCTTCCAAGCTTGCCTGCTAACAGGTTGGCTGTGTCACACTCCCACCAACGCGACATGAAACATCGACAAAGGTTCTTCCGCCGCCACGACAAATTCTCACCAAATACACTGTAATCCTGTGGTCTCGATATATCTCGAGCGGTGCATTTCAATGTGACGGTGAGATGTTCGTTTCGTCCCTCAACTACGAAGATTTGATTCTCATCGAAACACAGAAAATTTTGATTTTATGTATATATTCGATCCAATACAAATCGACGAACCAGTCGCCCGTTTCTACAAAGTTGAGGGTGCGCAAACAGCCCATGGCGCTCCCGACACGTAGTGTGAGCCAAACTTCCACCACCTCCATACATGTGATTCAACAGTGAGCTTTGTAGAGTGAAGCGATGTGCAAGGTAAGAGGTTGAGTAGGGATGCATCCTTGTCGTCCAAGAAGTAGCGACAACGTAAAGGGTATCGTCCCGATCCGGATAACTACAGAGACATCAATGTTCGTGAATTTCATCCGATGAAGTTCTATACTGAAATCCCATGAATCGCGAGATCATCCGGATAACCATGGACTGAAAAGTGCATGTAATGACACAATATTGAGGGAATCGAAGGTTTCACGCGTATTCTTCTACTTCGCAGGAAGCGGCCATGTCGTCGCGACGGAACTACGCGGCCAGAGGCGGCGGTGGACCAGCAGGCGGATCTTCTGGTAATAACGCTCGGGCAGGTAGAGGACACCCACCTCGCGGACCACCGCAGATGCGACAAGACTCAAACAACTCCCGCGACAGCGACGATGATTTCAATCAGCAAAACAACGCGCTCCTGGGTGTTCCTGTGTGGCAAGACTCCAGCGCGGATGTTCAAAATGGGTCGTACTTGGAAGCAGGGACACCCCATCGCGCGGCACCGGACAACAGTCGACAGCCTCTTCATCATCAATACTCGCAATCGTCGAATACGACACGTCACCACTACGCGCAGCAACAGCTCCAGCAGCAGCCTTACCAAGCTCCGCACATGGTGAATCACATGGCTGACCCTCAAATGGTGATAGAAGGAGTTCAGCGTCAGCGTCAAAGCAATGCAATCGCTGTGAATGCAGTACCAGCAACAACGGAAGAAGCTTTTCGATTGATCGCGGTCGGGGTGACTGCTGAGAGCGAAGAGCGATACGAATCTGCCGTGCGGAGTTTTCTTGACGGCGGTGAAATGCTTTGCATTGTGCACGAGCGCGAAACCGACATGCACGTACGGTCACTGCTCAATCAAAAAGCGACCCAAGTCATTGCATGGGCCGAAACATTGAATCGCTGGGTACGCTCCCCTCTCGCATTCGACATGCGTTGTGATGAAATTGAGTGCAGATCGAGTCTGGGCGCGTTGGGGCTGCTCCGAAGCGCGACTCGTTCAAGGTCGGTGTCGACATGGTGAACAGACTTGGGAAGTGCGCTGGGCCGATTAGCGCGCACAGCCCCTCCGAACTTCGCACGATGTACTACACGCCATGCGCCAACAAAGTCGTGTCGGACTTTACAAACGAGGGCTACCGGCTCCATTGCATTGAGGAAGGGCGGTCGCCGCAGCTCATGGTTGTCATCACCATGTACAACGAAGACGAAGTCGAAATGTACTCGACGCTGAAAAAAGTGGCCAACAACATCGAGCACATCAAGAGCAAGCGGTTGCCTGGGTACGAAGGCGATGACGCGTGGAAGAACATCCTCGTGTGCGTCGTCAGCGACGGCCGCACCAAGGCGAACAAGGGAACGCTCGCCTTTCTCCGCGATGTCGGCGTTTTTGACGAAGACGCTATGAACATCATGATGGTCGGTGTCGACGTGCAGTGCCATCTCTTTGAGTTTTGCGTGCAGCTCAAGAAGGGCAAGGACATTGCGGAGAGCGTCACGTCGCAGCATTTGTACCCACCGACGCAGGTCGTATTTGCTCTCAAAGAGCACAATGCGGGCAAACTCAACTCGCACGAGTGGTATTTTAACGCGTTCGCAGAGCAAATTCAGCCCGAGTACACGGTTCTGTTGGATGTGGGCACGATGCCGACGGCGCGCGCATTTTACCTGCTTCTTGCCGCCATGGAACTGGACCCGCAGATCGGTGGCACGTGTGGCGAAATTGCCGTGGACCGGCCGATCCCGCACCTGTGCAACTGGGTCATCGCAGCTCAGCATTTCGAGTACAAAATCTCCAACATCATGGACAAGAGCCTCGAAAGCGTGTTCGGGTTCATTTCGGTGCTACCGGGGGCGTTTTCCGCGTACCGATACAAGGCCATCCGGGGTGCGCCGCTGCAAGCGTACTTCAAGTCGCTCACAACACCCATGCACGTCCTCGGCGCGTTCCAAGGAAACATGTACCTGGCCGAAGATCGAATCTTGTGTTTTGAGCTCCTTGCGCGCAAGGGCCAGCGCTGGACGATGCAGTACGTCAAAGACGCGATCGCGCGCACGGACGTCCCGACCGACCTGACCGCACTCATCGGGCAGCGACGGCGGTGGCTCAACGGGTCGTTCTTCGCGCTCGTGTACACGATTCTGAATTGGGGTCGCGTCTACACCGAGTCCAACCATTCGTACATGCGCAAGTTCTTTTTGTGCATCCAGTACGCGTACATGACGGCCAACGTCGCGCTGTCGTGGATTCTGCCGGCCAACTTTTTCCTTGTTACGTACTACCTCGTCATCATTGGATTCCTCGATGACAACTGGGGCTACATCCCCACGACCAAGATCTCCCCCGGTGCCAAGCAAATCGCGGTCCAAATCTTCTCGCTGCTGTACGGGTCGTCGTTTCTTGTGCAGCTGGTTGCCGGTCTTGGAAACAAGCCCAAGCACATCAAGTATGTTCTCGACCGCCCGACGGATGCACTCACGAGGGTGGCTCACACGATAGAAACTTGTACCGGCTGACGGCTGTCTTCTACGCGCTCGTGATGACGTTGACGACTGTGATTGCGGTGGGATTCATTCTCAAGCCCATCATCGACAAGTTCAAGCAGGGGTACGACGCGTCGGTGTTTGTTTGGCGCTGGTTTGACACGGATCGTGGTATCGCTGCTGTAGGCTGAAAATCTCGGACATCCAAAGCATTTTGGAAAATTTCAAGATCGTGGACGCCGCGGCCTTTGTCGCGTCGGCGGGGGTGTTTTTCCTCGCGTCCGCGTTGCACTGCGAGCTGCATCACATCGTGCTCACGTTTGTGCAATACATGGCGCTGCTGCCGACGTTTGTCAACATCCTGAACACGTACTCGTTCTGCAACCTGCACGATTTGAGTTGGGGCACGAAAGGGCTCGAGAGCTCGGAGGGCCATGGCCCAAAGGCGAGCGGTGGCAAGGGTAACTTCAAAGACGCTGTTGAGAAGAAGAAGGCGGAAGAGGCACGCAAGGCCAAAGAAGCCAAGATCAAAGACGAAATGGAAGGGTCGTTCCAACGATTCCGATCGACGCTGCTCATCTTTTGGCTCATGTGCAACATGGGGTTTGCGTACTCGGTGATTGTGCTCGACGTCAACGAGGCCGGCCAGCAAGGGCTGAACTACCTCAAGTTTCTCTTTTACACGGTCGCGGTTTTCAATCTGTTCCGGCTCGTCGGGTCGATTCTGTTTTTGATCTCGAGTTTCAAGCTCAAGGTGTTTCGGTGTTGCATCCGAGGGACGATGGAAGAACGAATCCGGGCCAAAGCGAAGCGGCGCAGCCAAGGTCCTCCCGGCAACATCGTCTAGACGGACCCTCTTTGTCTTGCTATGCGTTCAATCGAGTCGTTGTCGTTCATTATTCGTCCTACAACTGGTATAGATACAGCGGCGACTCGCCGTGCTCCTTTAGAAACGGCACCGTCGAACTCGTGCTGACTGGGGTCCACTCCGGGATCTCAAACACGTACGTGACGATGCGCGTGCCGGGTGTGCATTTGAGCGCGAGGTCGCGGGCGATGCTGGGGTGGGGGAGGAAGAAGAGGGTCACTACAGTCACGGCCGACGTGTCAACGTGCACCCAATCGTCCAAGATAAACGAAACGTTCATCGTGGCATCGGGTCGATGCGCTTGACGGCGACGACATTGCGCAATAAGTGCGGAATCGATGTCAACTCCGATGGCATGGCGAGCGAAAAACGGTGCCTCGACGGCCGCAAACACGATGCGTCCGTCGCCACACCCGATGTCTAGCACAACATCCGCTTCATTTACATTTGCCAGGCGCAGCATCGCCTCCACGGCATCGTGGCTGCATGGTACGTACGGCGCCCATGCTATGAGGGGATGGATGGATGACATTGTTTGGAAAACCCTCCACGGACGCAGCCTACCTAGGTTCTTCTTGACACGCTCAACGTGGAGCTTTCGCGATCTGCTGCCTCGAAAAACCGCCTGGAAGCGCACGATGCCTGGATCGACGGTCGAGCCACTGGCGGCCGTTGGCAGCGACGACATCACAATGACTGTTCGCAGAAAGATCCAAAATTAACTTCAATGATTGGCTTATTTCACGAATATTTTTGACCAATCAAATATGTCCATACAATTGTCAGGCAAAACGAGCCGCACTGACGTCAAGCACCGACCGAGCAACGATGTCCGCGAGGGTCATTCGATCGGTGTATCGAGAACTGCTGCGGCATGCAAAGCTTATGGACAATCATGCGGCGGTCAAAGCTCTCCTTTCTCGTGCGGAAGTCCCCGAGAACTTTCAGTGTCAGAAGGCCATCTCCAGCTTACTGGGGGAAAACAAAGTGGTACGCGGGATTCTTTGCATCTGCACAAACACGTGAACACTGTCACAACGATGCTGACGAATATCATAGTACTACTTGCCACATACTTCGGCCGCTGAAGTCCTTCGACGTGCATTCCGATCGTCGACTGGAGATCTCGGCGCTGCGTTCCTCGCATTGCGCTTCATGGGCGAAAAGTTGCATGTCGCTCGCCAATATGGCCTCCTCAAGGAGTCCCCTTTCCTTCCTACTCGAACTTACGAACTATTGAGCTCACCATCCTCGGCTTCCCCACCTTCGTCTCCTGTGGCGCTCACCAAGTTCGTCGCCCACTTCTCACAACGCACTTGATCCACTCACTTGATGGCTTCCAGACGAATCCGCAGCGGTGTGTTTTTGATCGCACATCCGATGCTCTACCGGCCATTTGAGCAAACGGTGGTTCTGGTCACGAGTCACAGTGCAGTGGGCACGACGGGCTTTATTGTTAATGAAAAAGCTGGCAACAGGCACACGTTGTGGCCAAATTACGGGGTCGACACCCACCTCAAGCCTCTCTTTGGCTCCCATCAAGTGCACTACGGCGGACCTGTCGGCGGCGGGTCCGTTCAGGTGCGTCGTTGCTATCGATGCGACCTCTTGGAGTCTCTCACACGCACGTGTCAACGCAGTTTTTGCATGCGCAGCCCAACATTGGAGGCACCGCCGTGAATGCCACATCCCTGCACGATTCGAGCCCCCTCTTCGTAGGTGGGAATCTCATGGACTTTGCAAAGTTGCCTAACTCGAATCCCAACGAGGTGGAGATATTCGACCCTGGTATATCGCTCATGTGTCGCCGCCTAGGTCGTATTCTTCAATGGGTACGCGGGATGGACGCCCCAGTTGCTCCAAAAAGAACTCGATGTGGGCTCGTGGATCATGGTGACGGCACCGCTGTCCATGGCAATTCGGTCTCCCGCGAAGAACCTGTGGCGCTACCTGCTCAAGCAGCTCGGTTCCGAGTATGACCAATTTGCCGCGATTCCACGCAACGTCGACTTTACTGTGCATGTGTCGTAACATTGGAAAATCGCACGTTTTATTCAATCTTGGCCGTCCACCGCTCCTTCCGTCGAGCCTACAACCTGCTTTTGCAGGACGTAGATGAAAAATGGCTGGGCGATGCTGCCGCTGTTGGTCGGGCTCAGCTCAAGACACTCCAGGACCTCCCACACGAACCCTGGCACGTCTGTCGGCCAGTCCAAAAGCCCGATGCGATTTGTCGGACTCCCGTACGAGATCAGGAGGAATATGCCATCCGGCGCCAGCAGCCGCATGCACTCGCGCATGACGGCCGAAGCCTCGTTGAACTCGGCCGCGTTGTCCGGCGTGACTGTTTTCCACACGTTGGATTCGACTTGGGTTTCAGGCGCGAGGAGCATCGTATCAAGACATCCCTTGTCCAGGATGCAGTTAAAGGAGCCGTCGTCAAAGCCCTCCATGTTGGTCATGTCTGCTTGGATAAACTTCGCACGCGACGACGAATACTTGGCGCGGACCTTCTCGACAACGTTGGCGGCGTAGTCGATCGCGACCACGTTCGTAAACCTACAACAACTATTTGTCTAGCACGCTGCAAATGTCGGCCACAGACCCGTCTCGAATCATGTCGATGGGCAATGTGCTAGCCCCCGTGCCAGCCAACAGCACCGTTTGCGACGGCTGGACGTGGCGCCTGAGCACGTCCTTCAGGTGTTCGTAGCCGCAGTACCAATCAAACTCGTCCTCTTCTTCGTAGCGAGTTTCCCAGTACGTTTGCTTACCCAACTGGATGAGTGAAATCTTGGTCGCATGCGGCCGCACCAGCTTATCGCCCTTGGCGATGGGTTGGACGGCCCACATGAGCGACACGAGCCGACCCTCGTCCATGTCTACAAGTGCCATGTAACTCCAAGACGATGGCAGCACTTGGTGTACAGTAGAGCGGCGCGACCTGGACGTTGATCGCTGCGTTGTCCTTGGCGCATTCCAACCTAAGCCCGAATCATCAACCCATCAACATAGCGACAGTGCAAAATCGAACATGGAGCCGACGTTCGCTAGCACGTAATGGTATACGTCGGAAGCAGTGTGTCCAAACTTGATGCTGTACGCGCAATGCACGAGATGCACGACAATCCACTCGACGAGGGAGTCGATGTCTTTGTTAGTCGAAGACGACTTGGCAAAGTGGCGAGAGATGGTCAGCATTTCCTCGCGCAACGAATCGTTTCCTTTCAGCTGGTCGGCGGCATCTTTGGCCGTTTGGAAGAGCCACAAGTGGTCAAGGACCCACACATCTGCTTCCGACGCCATCTCTTCCGCCGCCACGACCACGGCATTGTCTTGCAAAATCCATGGCGCCGTGACATCGTTCTCCATCACTTTGCGCAAGGCAGTCTCTCGCAGATGGCTTGGTACTGCGTAATGGTTAAATTGGGTCTCATGGCGGCTCAGCGCATCCTCCATCGGTTCGTACTGCAATCGAGGAAGTTGACATGCATTATCCGGAAACATATTATCCGGATCACACCTGTTTACCTCAACACAATTCCATGACTTCAGGATTGTGTCTGCCGCAGACTCCATGGCGAGCCTAGAGAACATGCTGACGACAACTGGCAACTTCAAGGCGTCCTACACGCAGCGCGACCTGCTGATCTATGCGCTTGGGATCGGATGCGGTTATTACCCTCGCGGGGAGCGGGACAAGAACGTCGATTCCAAGTTTACTTCGGAACTGCAAGACAAGTTCGCTGCGTTCCCGCTGTACCCGGTCGTCCTTCTCTTCAAAGGCACCTCGCAAGACACAGTGGCGTACCCTCCCCCGAACCTTTCGTGGTTTCCGTCGGGAATTCCATCGTTTAACCCTGCTGGCACACTTCATGCTGAGCAAAGCATCGAAATCCACCGACCGCTACCTGCCACAGGTGCCGCGGTGACATGCCATCGCCGCGTCCTGTCCTTCCACCCCAAAGGTGCATCTTCTGCACTCCTCGAAACTGAGTTCAAGCTCGTCGACGACATGGACAACCTTCCGTTGTGCACCATTGTCATGAGCTCGTTTCTGCGAGGATTCGAGTCCTCGTTCAAAGGTGTCGGTCCGAAGGCCCCAAAGAAGCCCAAGATGCCTCAACGTAAACCCGATGCGTCGCTAGCGCTTCCTACGTCGCCAACCCAAGCACTCTTCTACCGTCTCTCTGGGTACGTGATCGCTGCTATTGCGTTTCCTTAAGCTAGCTCTTAGAGACTACAACCCGCTGCATTGTGACCAAGACATGGCCCAGGCCTTAGGCTTCCAAGAACCTATCCTGCATGGCTTGTGCAGCATGGGGGTCGCTGCGCGCGCCTTATTGCATCTATGTTGCGACAATGATCCGACCGCTTTTCGCAAGATGAGTGTGCGTATGACGAAACCGTGCATCCCTGGCGAAACATTAGAAACGAGGGTGTGGCGCGTTGATGGCACGTCGACCGTGCACTTTCAGACGCGTGTCGTGGAGCGCGACGTGATTGTCCTTGATGGCGGGGAGTTTGTTTTTGGTGCGAGTGCTCGCCTGTAACAACAGAGTGCGAGGACTTATCTGAGGTCATAGGGGCAATGAATATGGTTGTGATAATATACTTTGTGGAAGGGATTGCTCCATCATCATAATGACACAAGTGTCTTACTTGACCTTGAATCCTTCAGCACGCAGGCACCGCTTGTGGGCTTCAATGACGTCGGCGCAGTTCTCTTCGCCGTGGTTCACGACGCACAAGTCGCGCGCGGCTTTGGTCTCAGGGCACGAGCAGCAGATCTTCTTACCAGACTTTCCCAGGACGGGCGCGGCGGCCGTGGCGGTGATGTCTGGCATGTTTTGATTTTCCCGAATGTTCACTGGAGCAAGCTGCACCGGCGCAAAAACCATACAGCGTGTAAGTGCGATCGAACTGTACTTACTTGAAATCGCACGTACTCAGGTGGAGCGTACCTTAGAGAGCAGGTTTTGAACTAGAGGTGGGTGCCGCCGACAAGACTTTGGTGCCGTCGACGACGACGACGGCAGCGACAAGATGACGATGCGACTCGTGAAGCTAGCGGTCTTTGCATGCATGGCTCTGGTGTTGCAAGTGGCCCGTTGCGACCCCCGTGAAAGCGAGACCCGGTTTGTTTATCTTGCACCTCCATCGTGGATCTCGAGTATGTGGTTAGAATGGGATTTGACGACGGTGACTTGAACACCCAGTCCCTTGTCCACACCAAGCGCGGGTACTCACTGGACTTGGAACACTCCATCTCCACTGAAGGTGTTGTTGGGTCGTTTTCCTCCCGCGGTGAAGTTTCCATCGACTTTGAGCGTGCCAAGCCCACTGTCACGTTCCCCACTAAAGTCGTCCTCAACGACGCTCAACGTGCCGCGTTCCAAGTTTGTTCTGCCACGAATAATCGCACATCAACTCATGCTTTCTGTAGACATTGTTGTCCCAAAATGGTTTTTATACTGTTCGCGCGAAATCTCAGCCTGGGAACCCAAACTCCGCTTTCGTCATGGCGTCTGTGCCGGTGGTACGTCTCCGTTGTTCTAAACGATATGCTTACGGCGCGACGCAGTGCTTTTTGGTCAAGAACCGCTTCCGCGAAGAGCTTTCCTTCCACGTGAATGATGTCGGTCACCTCATCAGCATCGAGTTCCGCACGCCGGCCCTGTCTCCATCGGAATGCGCCAATGTTGGCAAGGTATTCACTAACAAAACACCACATTCATACAACTACCGCTAACGGACCATGGGCGTGTTCATGTTTGTAGCGCGTGATCAAAGACGCGAGCTTCTCCAGCACCGGCTCGGTCGCGGTGCCAATCGACGGCCCTGAGTACACAACCATTGCCTGCCTCCCATTCTTCTCATTTCACACCATAATGTTAGAGTTCCGCGAGTTATTGCCGCCGCAAGTGCCGCCAAAGTCGCCGTTCCACCAGGTGTCGAACCCGTCCGAGATGAAAATGCCCCCCCTCCCGAGGAATCGCAGAGCTTCTTCCGCCGATACGTAAGCCATTCTCGCCAGGCTCCCTCAGCCAATTTTTTCATTCCTGTGGTCTTGACTTGTAGTGGTACATCATCGTGCCTGTACTCGTCCTGCTTATCAGCGGCGGCGGCGACGCTCCTGCGGCTGGCGCCGCCCCTGCAGCTGGTGGTGGAGCCCCTCGTCGATAAAGTCGATAAAGACAATCCATGGAATCCTATCTTTCGTTCAACTGAACAGCCGCGAATTGAATACGAACGAACGAGTAAACGTGTCGTTTGATTGTTTTATGTTGAAGCAGTGCCAACGGACTAAGCTTTGTTGCCGATGAATCGCTCGCTCTCAGCGCTCTGGTTGTCTGTCGCGAGCGGCCATTTGTGGTTGGAGATCAGCTGGCCCCATACCGTGTTGTCTCCAGTCGCAACAACGACCCCAATGGCATCCCCTTTGACAACCGACGTCGCCATGAACACCATGTTCCGGCTCAGGACGCCATTCTCCTTGTCCGTGCACTGCACCGAACACACCCGGGGAATCTTTTCGTTCGCTAGCGAGCTTAAATCCACCGTAAAGTCTTCCGAGCATTCCAGGAGGCGGCAGTCCGCGGCCACGGTGTCGCCAGCTACATGGAGATGTAACACGTCTGTAAAATGGATGGACGACGACGTACCTTTGAAAATGACGACGTCGCCAAAGACCAAACTTGCAGCATCCATGCAAAGTTTCTTTCCACTCCGCATAACGTTGACTTCCTTCGGAGAGTGGTTTGTGTATAGTCGCATGCCTTCTGTGCGCATGATGCATGGGAGCAGACAGCACACCCAGGACGGGCAGTTGACAGGCGGTGTGACTCTATTCACTCCATGCAGCAATCGCCGTGCAATAGCTTCGTCACGTGTAAGTCCCTGTGGAACTCATCAGTCGGCGATCAAAGGGAGCGAGGCACTCGTACAAACGCGAGTTCGACGTTGGTTTTGGCGAGAAAGTCTCTCTCAGTCATGCTTTGGATCTCCTACAAGCATGATGAGGTCAAATCGATTCCTGCCATCGCAAGACTTGCCGCAGGAAGATGAACCTGGCCCACGAGTGCTTCCATGTTGTCCCCTTCTTCAAATCGGATAGCCAGCGTCGTCGGCGACGAGGTGCAAAAATAGATCCGAAACTTTCATCCGGATAACGGTTGCGTCCGTCGGACTCGCACCATGGACAATATCTGCATCATCACCAGGGCCATGACGTGGAGTGGGCCAAGGACGAGAAGACAGGAAGGTCTGGACGCCAGTGCCAAGCGATGTTACCATTGCATGCAGATCTGCAGCCACGTCAACCTCGACCGAGTTACCTTTTTCGCATCGCACTCGATTTCCATGATGGCGCAGTCACTGTAGCATACGTCTGTCTGTGCCTTTAGGTGTAGAAGCATAGACCCCCTGAAGATTTATCGGCGATGTCACAGGAGCTCTCGAGATCAAAAAATCGCATTAGGAGAATATACAAGGGAATATGGACACTACATCGACGCCAACCATGTCGTTTTACACGTCGGTCGTGGAGTAGGCTTCGTCGTATGTGCCCAGTTGGTCAAAGCCATATTGGGCGTTGTACTGCTGCTGGTGGGCTTCTTGGTAATCCCGCTCCGGCTTGGCGTTGTTCCATTCCTCCATTTCGCGCTTGTAGCGAGCACGGTCTTCCTTCTCCTTCTCGACAAACGGCGCCTTCTGGGCCTTCGTCGCCTTACCCCATGCTTCGCCCAATTGCTTCGAGATTTCCGTATTCTTCATCTCCTGGTGTTCCGACTTGATGCGAGGACGCATAACTTGACTGTAGAACAAGAATGCCGACGACGCGCGCTTGGGAGCGTTTGGGTGCTTCTTCGCACGCTTGTTCGGAACGCGCAGCGGACCGTCATAGGTGGCCATTTCTTCTTCGTAGCGCTGCTTGTCCGATTCAGCTGCGGTTTTCCACGGCGCTTTTTCGTCCTCGGACATTTTGCTCCAAGCATCAGCAATGGCGCGCATGACGTCCGTGACTTTCGCGTTCGGGGCCATCGTGGCCTTGATTTCCTCGCGTTTGTCCATCGAGAACAGAATGTACGGCGACTTGCCGCGCTTGGGCGCGCCAGGAGCCTTCTTCTGCAGACGGCGCTTCTTCTTGGTCACGGTAGGGATGTCGGCGCGGATGTCGCCCCAAACGTTTTCACTTCCAGACGCAGGAGAGTCCATCTAGCATGCATCACGACACCATCAGCTCCATGGCCATCGCACCACGGTGCACTGCCCAAAGTCATGTCCACGTCCCCACACGTACAGCTCCACTTACCCTTGGATTATCTATAGTATAGACTCGGGTAAAGTAAAATTTCAACTGCGCGAAAGTATGGTATAGTCGCAGCCGTTAATTCGGTCGCAGGCGCGGCGGCAGTTTCGAGGGGCGCCTTCGTCGCTGGGCACGTTTGATTGGCTTATATTGCCGCCGAGTTTGTGCAGTCACCAATTAAAACGCGTTCTCTGGCCATGCTTTCAAAATTTAAACTTGGCGTGTGCCCATTGGCTCTCTTCACATGTTCTAGAAAAGGATTGGCGGAATTCTTGCTCGAAATACCTTGAAGCACACTATTTCTGTATGATGGAGAATTTCGAACAGGGCTTTATTTAGTGTGGGTCCTCTTCCCTCCACAGAAAGCGCAGACCTGTCGGAGGCACTATGGCGAAGCACCACCCCGACTTGATCATGTGCCGCAAGCAACCTGGCATTGCCATCGGCCGTCTATGTGAAAAGGATGACGGGAAATGCGTCGTGTGCGACTCGTATGTGAAGCCACAGACCCTCGTTCGAGTGTGCGATGAATGCAACTACGGCACGTTCCAAGGTCGGTGTGTGATTTGTGGTGGCCCAGGCATTTCAGACGCATACTATTGTCGAGAATGTACACAGCTGGAGAAGGACCGTGACGGGTGCCCCAAGATTGTAAACGTCGGGAGTTCGAAGACAGATCTCTTTTATGAGCGGAAGAAGTATGGGTTCAAGAAGCGATAAGTGCCTTGAATCCTGAACTGGTTTGCAGCATGATGGGCGTGGACAGTTTGATTGATCATAAGAAGTGCATTCATAGTTTATTAACGTGTGTTTTCGAGGGGAATCATGTCCTCCACATTTCCACGAACAACGCCACTCTCGTTCCGATGGTTTTCGTGACAAGCCAACAAAATACCCCCCTCGATTTCACTCTGCGTTCGATCGGGACGGCTTATGCAGGTGGCTGGATGGCTCGGACATGTTGCGTGACATGTACTGATGATAACCTTGTTGGACGCAAACTCAATTCGCAGTGCTGTAGTCTCTTACAAGTGCATTGAATGACTTAGCCATATTGAATTCCATTCATTCTCTAAGGTGCATGGCTACTACGCCCGACGCATGCCATCAACGTTGCCGTGTGCACTTTGAGAGCACTTTATGTCCTCGAGAACGATAGCGCCATGTCCGTGCGGTCAATGTGGCGCCTGTTCGACAAATGACCGGATAAAGATTCAAAATTATCCGGCTTTGATTTCCACCAACCAACAATCGTTGACAGCGCCGCGGAGACCGAGAGGAAACGACGGAAGGCCAACGATGGGGCGACCGACGGCAGGAACGATTCTGCGCATGAAGAAGGCACAAGTGAAGCCAAAAAAGAAGAACCCATCACTCAAGAACAAAATCCGCAACCTTGAACGCTTTCTGAAGAAAGATGTACGTTGACCAGTAGTGAGCATTGGTCGGTAGTCCGTTTTGATGGAATCCTGATGCAAATATGGCTAGACGTTGCCAGACGACGTCCGTCGTGCAAAAGAAGAAGAGCTAAAGGAACTTCAGAAGCAGACAGAAGGCAAGCAAGAAGAAGACAGGAGTCGCGAGATCACACTCAAGTTCAAGAAAGTGCGCTTCTTCGATCGACGCCGCTTGATGCGATTGCTGAAGAAGCTGAAGCGCCAATTGGATGCTCCGGCATCGAGCGAAAGCGACAAAGACGAACTTGAAAAGCAATTCGAACAGGCCAAAGAAGACATGATGGTAAGCACCTCTCGCTGGCACTTATGTACACAAGCGAGCGCCTGACTGAAACCATCGTCCAGTACGTGTACTACTACCCCAAGGGCGAGCGATACATCAATTTGTTCCCTGATGCGAAGAAGCCGCATTCGGCAGAGGATTTGGAGCGGTGCGTGACGCTATTGATTTGCACAAACTTGACAAGTGGTTCTCAGGCAGGACAAGATGAAGAAGGCGGCACTGAAGGCGTTCAAGAGTGACGACAACCGCACTGCGTTTGACCATTATTGCTTCAACGACGACGAGGCACCTCCTGCGGAGGTACGCGCGGGACGATCGGTCGCGATGGAATTAATTGTACGTGGTACGGATAGGACGACACAAAAAAGCGGAAGGTTGGAAAAGACGGCAAAACAACCAAGCGAAAAAACAAGCGACCAAAGACGAGCACCGCCAAGGTTGTCATGGCAGATTTGGACGGGGCTGACGACGGCTCTGGTGGTGACGACGACTTCTTCTTGTGATCAATCTATCGTTCTTCGTTATACTATCTCCCAACGCTTTCCATGCACTTTCGTCAGCGTGCAGTCCTGTATTGCTCATGGAGTCCAAATGTGGCCGCTTCCTCCCTCCGATGCTACACCAAGTCACTGGTCGTGACGTCTCTTTACGTCGCGTGCTTCACATCCTCACTGTCTCACTACCATCTTGTCGCAAGCTTCACATCCCCACTATCTCGTTGTCGCAGAGCAAGAGAGCGCGAGCATTCAACAAGCAGAAGCTGCTGCAGCATCCCGCTTCTGTGCAAGCTAATACAATCGGTGGACTCCAGCCGAGCATTCGGGTCCTACATTGTGATACACGCCAAGCGCGCAAGGAAGTTTCGTGGTGGCGCTTGCGTACGCACCGTGCGATGCGCGACGGAGCATGGATTCTCCAGTCGGTCGCCCCGCCACGTTTCCCAGTTCAGTTGTCGATGAAGGGGTAATTCCAACTGTACTTGTCTATGAGAATCCTCCACCGCCTCATGGCGCCTACCACCACACTGGCTCTCGAAGCATGTCAAGACGGCATCCACATGTTGGTGCGCACGACGGCGCTACTCGCAGGCATTCTATACCGCCAACTCATCCCATTCACTCATGGGCGCATCGGACCGACCGCGGGACCTACCTACCGCGGTTGCAGGCCGACGGCACAAGATACCAAGGGCGAGAAATTCCCTTGATTCAATGCTTTGGGGTACTCTCACGAGCCAATCAATCGCCGCCAAGTCGAAAGGTCGATCGATTCTACCACGACATTTTTTTATACCTTGTCGTGCCTTTACATTTCGATAGGTAAATTGAAAAATTGTATTTTTCGGGTGAAATTATGACGCTTGTCACATGGTGCTCCATTTTCCCATTTCCGCTGGCTGACTTCATCATGTCGTCGCTGACGGCGCGCTTGCCTTTGAAAGCCGTCACGCGCCTCGTTCGCAAGCGATCGGCGTCGCAGCCACTCCTTACGTGCATGAAACTCGCGGGAAAGGCTGGGATGGATGGAGAATCTGCGCAAGTGCTCCTCGTCGCGAGCGCAGTCATGACTGCCGGGGGGATTGCTGCTGCTGCTTCTTCAAGCGACTCGTCCGTATCTCGAAGCGAGTCACTGCTGTCGCTGCCGCGGTACTTCGACGATGAGTACGATCTCGTGAATGCCCGAACACTAGGCCAAGGTGCTTTCGGCATGGTCATGCAATGCGTGAGCAAGTTGGATCAGACAATGGCGGCTGTCAAGGTTGTCTCGGATGGATATGACGAAGCGGAACGAGAAAAGAACGCCCTCATGTGCGTTGAACACGCAGGGGGCCATCCCAACATCATCCAGCTCACGAATCACTTCACCCACGACGGGTTCCATTACATGGTGCTCGAATTCATTGACGGCGTGACCTTGTTCGACTATGTCGCTGAGCGCAAGCAGTTGACGTCCCAGGTTTGTGTGGCTCTAATTTTCGTGTCGTACTCACTGCGTATTCAGGATGCAATTGCCGTGTTAACTCAAGTCGCCTCGGCGCTGGCTTTTCTCCACGCCCACGGCATGGTGCACTGCGACCTCAAGCCGGACAACATCATGATCGTCCAAGACAAGAGAAACGAATCCACCAACATTGCAGTGAAAATCATCGACTTTGGCTCGGCGACCATTCCTCGTCCGAAGGAGTCGAGTCGCATTCCACTCAAGCGTGCGTTGACACTGTCGTCCGCGCCGCTTTCTGGCACCAGAACGTACTGGTCCCCCGAGATGCTGTCTGGTCCTATCGGCCAAGTGAGTCCAAGCATGGACATGTGGTCGCTTGGTTGTCTCCTGTACATCATGCTGTGCGGCCGCCATCCATTTGACTCGCGCGGCTCGCTGTCCGAAGAAATGGTTCTCCACAACGTTATCCATGCCGACGTCGACATACCTTCGTCCTGGCCTCCCAAACTGACTGCCATTGTTGCCCAGCTCCTCGATAAGGACCCGTCCACGCGACTCACAGCCCCCGAGCTCGTTGCGGCTCTGGAGGCGCTTTCACGTTAATATTTACAATTCATCTTTGAAGTCGTCGCTCATCTTTCGTTCGTTCCGTGCATGACGTGGCATCATCTTGTGGTAAGTGACGCTCTTGTGGCATGCTGTTTGACATGTTAAGATGAGCAAACGAACGAACGATAGCAGTGCACCACTTGAACGAACAAACGAACTGGACGGTTTCACCCTGGACACAATTCGAAACGGCGCCGCCCGCCCTAGACATTCCAAGACCAATGGATCGGATGATTCCACTGACGGCGTCGGTGGAGGTGCTCGCGGTGCTAGCCAACAGCGTCGGTGTGGACGAGGAAGAGGTTGACAATGAAAGGATGGAGAACGAGAACGACATTCTCGACGACGGGAGCATGCCGCTACGTCTCCACGGCGACGACTCGCGTGGGTCCGATTCGGAGAAGGACGACGGCGAGATGGAAAAGAAGCGGTACACGGTGCAAGAGCAGCGGGACGTCATCCGCAAAATCCATGAGAGCAACCAGATTCTCAAGCAGGAGCTCAGCATCGAATGGCGCGAGGCCAAGGCGATGTTGGGAGCGGAGAAGCAAGCCAAACTCAAGCGCCTCCAGAAGCAATCGACGTCGTACTCGCACAAGATAGAGCAGGAGAAGCGCGCGATCAAGAAGCTCGAGGAGAGTGTGGCGGCGAGGCATCGCGAGCTCCAGCACCTTCGAGAAGAGAACGTTCGGAATGACAAGTTGGAGAGTGTCGCTGCCGCCACACGCCGCGTTCGGGCACTCGAAGTACGCTGCGCCGTGTCTCCGACGCACTGGTTCTGGGCCACACACACATTTGTCGCATGTAGAATCGCCTCGAGATCTCACTCGTGAAGAAGAATGAAGTCGACTCGATCAACAAGCATCTCCGCCAACAAATCGACAAAGTCCGTCGCGACCGCATCGTGTTTGACGGGATCTACAAAAAACTCGAGCGTGAAACGTGCGAGTTCCGCCACCGCTTGGTACAGCGACTCGAGATGGTCTGGCATGTCGAACGGTCGAGTGATAGGAAGGGGCGACGGCCGACTTGGCCAAGAGCATTGCCGCAAAGGAACAAATCGACAAGGAAGTCCAGGACCTCCAAGCTCTGGTCGAGTCGGAGCAGATCACGTACGAAAAGGAGTTTAAGGAATTGCGGGTATGCTGGATCCACTAGCGTCGACGGGTCTCAACAAGTGTTGCGTAGATGCTGATTGCTACGTCCAAGCAGGAAGCAGCCGAGCAGGCACGGGCGATCGAGTTGGCCCCGGAAGCCGAAGTCGTGAGTGGTCAGCTGTCGTCGGACCAGGAAAGCTCGATCCACCGGACGTCCGCGTTGTCGTCGTGGAAAATTGCGTACGACAAAGCCATCAGCACGGCGAGCAATGCCGAAGCGTTGCGGTACCAGCAAATGTTTGAGAAAATCTACCAGGAAACGGGCATCCCGGACGCGGAGAAACTCGCGCAAGAGGTGCCGTCCGCCTTGGTCGATCCACCTCACATGCGCCACAGATTCAACGAAAGGACGAAGACAACTTCAAAAAGTTCAAGCACGTCGAGACCCTTCACAAAGAAACGGACGACCTCCGCGTCGAAATCGAAAAGATGACGGCGGCGCTGGACGCGTACAAGCTCCAGGAAGGCATCGGGACGAATGTCCTCGACAAAGCGACGTACCGGGCTTTAACCGCCAAGTTGACCGCTGTCGAAGAGACCAACCAGCGCCTGGACGCCGAATTTGACGAGATGGGGGTGCGCCTCGCCCGGGTCAAAGCGACTGTGCATTCGCTCTTCACCATGCTCAACCAAAAGTCGTCCGAGACCGGCCAGGGGGGCGCGGCCGTCCACGGGGTATCCCTCAACGACATCACGGATTCCAACATGCTCGAGTACTTGCAAGTCGTCGAGAAATCGATCCTTTCCCTACTCCACCACGGCAACAATGGCGGCGCCACCCATGGTCCACACGTCCTTGCCGAAACGTCTCCATTTGAAAACGCCAAAAAGTTCAAGCAGTCGCTCGAGCCTCCGTCGTGCCATGACTTGACGGGGGCAACGATGCCGACGGCACGAGCGTCCGGACACAATGGCGCGTCAGCGGCGCGAACGTCGTCCAGAGTCGGCACCCCCACAACGCACCGACACAACCTGCGTGGAGGTGCTGGGGACGGCGTGGAAGAAGAGGAACGAGCGCTGACGTACGACGAGCTGAAGGAGTCGGCGCAGGCAGCGTTTGCAACGTCGTCGTCAGGACTCAAGCACCAGCCTCGCGCAACTGCACGCGTGACGATCCAAACTCCCCCCACCACGTAGATGATTTGAACACAATGCATGGGGAGCCAAGCGCGAGGATGGCTCGCACAGGTCGCTCGTTAGACTTTGTTATAAACGGTGAAATTACTACCCGCGTTCTGTCGCGGCCAAGAGGAAAGATGGGCTTAACGCTTGAAGCTGGGCGGAATGAGATGGTCGCCAAGGGACGTCGGCAACTCGTGGCCGTCGCGGACTTGATGGCACAAGTACATGGCGACGGCAAACTCTTCCGAGTCCAGGAACCCGTCCTTGTCGACGTCGGCGAGATCCCAGATCTGTTTCAGTTGCTCCTGCGAGCACCCTGTGGCAAGGAGGGGCGTCATGCACGCCATGCCGCTCGCCTCGCCCATCGAGTTGACCGTGAGGGTGCGAAAGATTGTGTCGAACTCTTCCTTGAATGGATTCACCGCCCAGTCCTGCACCAATTCCATCAGATTTGACGCCACTGACAACACCCTACCATCGTCTTGGACAAGAACGGGTTGATCGCTTCCTTCGAGTCGGCGCGGGACCCGTCCTTCTTCGGCAGCGACATCATCTACGACGACGCCCGTCAGGATCCACGTGGAAAAACAAATCGACGTACCAGCTTGGGGATGTCGCGAGCCATCAATTCGTCCACGTCTTGGATCATCTTGAGGTTGAGTTTGCTGAACAGGTCAAACTTGCGTTCTTCCAGCTTCTTCTGGAACTCCTCCTGCAATCGCCACATCACGAACGCATGCAGCGGGATCGACCTACCAAGTTGGGGAAGTCGCCCGGCGGCAGGTTGTATTTCTTTTGGACTTCTCGGAAGACGGACGGCAGCGCTGCGATCAACTCGGCTTGCTTCTTTTCCTTGCCCATCATCAACGGCATCTGCTCCTTCAAGTGCCCAATCAAGTACGCATGAACCTTGGCCAGCCGCGTGCGCTTCACGAGCTCGTTCACCTGCATCCATCCATTAACCCCGTGCCAGAGGGAAGGGGGCTCACCTTTCGGACGGCCGAGTTGGACGGCAACTTGCGCAACTCGCTCATCAAGTCGTTCCGTTCCTTTTCGAAAAGCGCCGCATTTTCCGTGTACATCAGCGGCTACATAAGCGTGTGAGGATTTCCATGCGAAATTCAACATGGTGAGTTGGCTGTACTTGGTCCCAGAACGACCCGATGAACACCCGCATGACTTCTGGTGTCTTCATGACCTTGCCCATCGACCACATGAGCGCGCCATACCTACCATCAGGTCATATCCTCGACGGGAACCTGCAGTCAAACGTGCACAGCAGCATGTTCCGAGCAGCAGACGCGGAAGGCTCGGAGAGTACACGCGCCACCGCCAACAGAGAGCGTTCAGTTGGTTTCACCATTCTCTGAGAGAATTCAAAACCCCTGCGCATGGAAACCCCTTCTCGTCCTCACATGCTCCTCCCGACGAGATGTAATCATGTAGCATGCAACGTACACCCGCATGAGCTTTTGCTGGTCGATCTGGTCCGACTTGTTTAGCACACACCGAATCTTGTCGTCGTGGCCCTTGAGCACCTCAATCACGCGCTGGAATTCATCCGAAATATCCAACTTGTGCGCATCGAACAGCAAGAGAACCATGTCGGCACGCTCGGCGAACCACTTGGCGACTTGGACAAAGTCGTACCCACGGCTGATGCGCTGCTTCTCGCCGGACAAGATACCGGGCGTGTCGATGACCGTCATGTGTTCAAGTTGTTTGCACGGCAACTGCGATGCTTCGAACTTGTTCAAGAACGATGTGCCAAACATGCTCAGCCCACCGTACGGCAGATCCGGCGACACCGCGAGGGCGTTCCCAGGGACAATGCGTTGTTCGTCGCCGTACATGACGGCACAGAATCGATCCGTCGTTGGTTCCGGGCCAACGCGGGATCCCGGAAACTTTTCACCCAGCAAGTACTCAATGAACGACGTCTTCCCGACACTGTACTGCCCAATCATGAGGATCGTCGGCTTGGCGTCAAAGTCGGCTTCACTCAGCAGTGGCGAGTGAAACTCGTCGAAGGCGTATTTCTTCTCCAAAGGCTTGATCTTGGAGACGTACATCTTCTTGAGGCCTTCCGTCACCGCTCGGCTCCCATGCGCAATGTCGTCTGGCACCGTGGTCATCTTGGTCGGGGAATGCGAAAAGCCGAATCCGCTCCTGCCTGCGTGAACTTCACAGCCGTTTCACACAACCGGATATCCGGATACACGGCGACCCAACTTCGCTTTTGTATGGAAAGCAGGTGAGGGTGCGAAGGAGGCGTCAGTCGCCCGAACTGTACTGTGGGGTGCTTGGAGGCCAGGGCCTCGCCAAGGACGCTCCCGCCGCCGCGGGTTTTGACAACTGCCTTGGCATGCTCGTCGCATCCGGTGCTCTGTTGAGCCCAGTCTTGTCGGGGCTGGGTGGAAAGCGCGATCTATGCAAGTCACATGGAACGCCACACCCAGCGAGCATCGCATCGAATTGCCGCGTGGCAGCTATTAGAGCATCGGTGTGGATGGACGACGACAGAGGAAAGGTATGGAGTATGCGATTGCTTTACGCACATACGCACTGTACGTTCGAGTTTACATGGCGACGCAAGGCCGGTCAGTGACTGTTGTGTACTTGTCTTTCCAACAAATAAAGTCGATGGTTGGAAGGAACCAGCTATGCTGTGCCATGCCATGGAGCAGCCTGCGCCTCGCCTCATGGCGCAACGGTCTCTGCATCGAGAGGAGGCTCCAAAGGCACTTGGAATCATCCGGATAATTTTGGCATGTACCGGAAGCCAACAATTTGAACGACCACGGCGGCACGACGGCGCCATGGAGGTAAGCCGTCATGGTGCGAGTCGATGACGTGACCCGTGGATAGACGTCATTACGGGAAGTGGACGAGTGGAGAATGGAACGGCGTATTCATCAAGCGGTGGCGAGCAGTGAAGAAGCGATCAAGTGCCTTCAGCTTGTGTCGGACAAACCTCTATGGTTGATCAAGCAGCAGACCATGTCCCGTCGCGACTTTTGGAATCAGCTGCACAGTGCGCTACCGTCTGAATACAAGGCAGAGCGCGCACGGATAAGAAGCAACAGAGTCGCAGCACCTTCGAACGATCCGTTTGGAGTTCAAACGGTGAAGCGATCGAACGCTGAGTTGCTCAAGCAATTGGCGCAACAAATGAAACACCTGTCGCAACGCAAGAAGGGATTTTTGAACAACCGCAATGGGATCACGGGCAACCCGAATAACGGAGGCTTCAGTTGCAATGCCAAGCCAGGGTCCAGCGACAACACATCGAGTGGCTCAACGGATCGAAAGTCTTCTCGTTTCGCTGACACCGACCTCGAGTCGTACCATGCAAAGTGGCGTGAAACCAGCAGTCAAATCCACGATATTGAAGCGCAGCTGGAAAAGTTGCGCGTGACGCGGCAGAGCGGCGACATCGAGCGCCAGCATGATGCTTGGGTCGCCAACCGACAATGGGAGGTACTTCGTTTGCTCGCCCATCCTACATTCCTTTTCACGTGGTGGCTTCTTAGCTCGTGTTGGAGGATGTGGTTCGAGAAGAGCTCGGAGAAATCATGGACGAATTGCTGGAAGAGTCTGACGCTGGGAGGGAGCTACCCGAGGAAGACGACAGCGTTGTCGAGACAGCGTTGCACGGCGGGCCACCGACGGAAGTATTGTGCCAAAAATTCAACGTCGATGTGTCCCGGGGTCTCCTACAGTGCCTCTTGCCAGCCACGTGGCTCAACGACGAGGTAAAGCACGTCGACTGCGTCAACGCGAGAGTGCGCGACCGTGGCGTGGCGTAGATTGTGAACTTTTGGTTTCAAATGCTCACGGAACGAGATGCAACCCGCCCGGTCAAATCGCACTTTTTCAACTCGTTTTTTTTCTCGAAAGTAAGCGAAGACGGGTATAACTATACCAACGTGCGCCGGTGGACGCGCAAGGTACTCGAGTGGATCCGCCGAGAGTCTGGGAACTGACCGTCGTGACCAGGTGGACCTTTTTGCCATGGACAAGATCTTTGTACCGGTGAACATCCGCAACGTAACGCCAACTTCTGTCGCTCCTGACAATGACGTGCTTACATTCGCTAAACGTAGGTGCATTGGTGTCTGGCTGTGATCTTCATGAAGGAAAAGCGCATTCAGTACTATGACTCCATGGCCGGCGTGGGCATCCAGTGTCTGGATGTGCTCTTTAAGTACCTCCATGACGAGTCGCAGCACAAGAAGAACACTGTGTTTGACTCGACCGGGTGGGAGCTCGTCGCGACCACGAACGACACACCCCAGCAAGGCAACTCGTTCGACTGTGGGGTGTTCACGTGCATGTTTGCGGACTTTCTCAGCCGCGACCTGGTACGTGGCACGTGCTGTCTTGGCGCACTTAACAACTTGTAGCCGTTGACGTTTTCTCAACGCGACATGAAGTTTTACCGACGACGGATGGTCTTGCGCATGGTTCAAGGGTCGATTCCAGAGGACGAGGGGTTCGACTTGTGAAGTAGTTTTCTTTCCTGCCGTAATCAAAGGTCCGTCGAGGTTCGACAGGTGATGCTGGCGATGCATGTGCACTGGAGGAACGACCAAACGAACGCAAATGTCTACGGTAGCTCCCAGCCTTGCTCCACTCGGGTGGACAGGATGCCTGGTTGTCGTGAAAGAGCAAACTGGATTTTAAAACAGCTCAACCTCATGCACTTCTTTGCAAGCGACATGGGCAATGGGGCAACTCCAGGTGATAGATTGGGTCGGATATCGTCAAGGTGACGATCAAATAATTTCATTACAAGGCACACGAAACTACGGTCGTGGGGTGGGGTGGTGGTGCCCTTTGTGGTGACTGTGACGACTAGCAGTCGTCGATGGGATCTCAGTCGCCGAAGCGAGGCTCGAGTGGTGGCGATGATCGGTGTCGGCCATGATGGCAATGGATGTGTCAACAGCAGCTCCCCATTGCCACAAGGACAATCCGAGCAGCAAAATCACGACTTCTAGGAGAAACAGGACCAGCGACGCGTTCCAAATCGAGCATCGTCGTCGGAGACTTTCATTTTGGACGACGGACCCAATCAAGCGCAGAAACAGCACAATCCATACCAGGACAAACTTTCCATCCGCTTCGCTCTTGAACGCCACCAAGGACGCACCGACGCCACATGCGACAGAAAAGAAGTGGTGGACCAGTACAACGAACGAATAGTACCGAATGCCGACGCGGGTGAGCATGCGCTGCAGTCTCGTGGCCTCGTGGAACGACCATGCGCGATTCAGACACAGACTTGCGAACGACGCCATGTGACACACGACCTCGACACATCCCCAGCCTACGCCGAACGAAAATGCAGACGAGAACGTGGATGTTGTGGCGAAAAGCCACACAAACAAGACGCGCACGACGTCGTCCAACGAAGTGCACACCACTGCGCCAAAGACTCCCCACAAGTACATGGACCCGTCCTTGAGAGTCCCACGGCCAGACTTTTTGGCAATCCACTCGAAAGTCCACTTGGTGCATTCACAGGTGCTGAACGCAAGCGCGCCAAGGACCGTATGCCTCGGATCGGGAAACGATGGTTGCGACACGCCAGGCTTGGCGTAGGCAGCGCAGATCCCATGGAAAAGGGCCAAGTACCCCACGACTATCGCAGGCTGCACAAGGGAAAATAAAATGTTTGTCCATGTCTTGTATGTGAGGAGTGGCGAAGCACTCGAGCCCATGGCTACCAAGTTCATCTTGGTCAACGGAGTGTCTTTAATGTCCGGTTTCGACGGGGTATTGTCGTCGATCAAATTCACTTCGCTTCCAACGGAGCTACATCCATCGGGCGCCACTGCATTGCTGTCTTCGAGATCAATATCTTTAAGATCTGGCTTCGAGTCCAGCCGCAACGGCGGCAATTGGGACGTCATGGTGGTGCCTTGCCCCTGGTGTGACCAAGTTCACGATTTGCGATTGTCGTTGGTCGAGCAGTTGCTTTCATTGGGTAGAATAGAAATCGTGATTATTCATTTTGGAAGAATTGAATTGCGAATCCAAACCCAACATAGAAGTATTCATTGATTGAAGGTATAGGTAATAAGAGGCAAGCGCCGATTACCGGAACGTTGCTTTGTCGTGTCCATACGTCGACAACCGGATACATTCAATTTCAGAGGAGTTTAGGATGGATAAGAATACAACTTTTCAATTCTCGATTTTGATTGGTTGAAATAGCTGATGAAGGGTGAAACAATCCCCCAACAATAGGTAGCATCCGGAGGCATTGAGACCTACAAAAAAACAATTAAAATATAACTGGATTATTGTATGTAATATTTTCCACCCATGCAGAATGCCAAAGGTATCCGGATACGACGGCCTGATGCAAAACACCGTGTTCCATTTACTGACTGCACGAGTTCCAGCATAATGGATGCTTCGAACCCAGCCGCGTCGATGCCCCTTCCCAAGGCGGAAGCTCCGGCGACGTCCGAGTCCAAGGCTGCGGCGGTAAAAAACAAAGGCGCTGAAGTTGTGAGTAAGTACATCGACTCGATTAACAAGACCGACATCGTTCGCATCAACGGATACCTTCGCTTCGCCAACATCGCGGTCGGTGTCGTCTTCGGCCTCATGGGGCTTGTCGGTATTTTTTCCGTCAGCAGCTATGAAAGCTTCTTGGTGCAGTTGTACGTGATTGTGCTCTCGGGCCTTCTCGTTCTCTTTGAGTTCCGGGAGAAGTTCCCGAAGCTTGAGACCAAGACAAAGGAGAACTTTGGCTTCATGTTCACTGGGTTCGGCCGTTCTGTGTACATCTTGCTGTAAGTCCACGATCTAGCTTGTGTACCTCTGAAAGGGGCTCTTATATTTTCGCCTGCAGGATTGCGTTGTTGTCCTTCACCCAAGGCACCTTTGGCATCATCATGGGCATTGCCTTCTTCATCTTATCTGCGTTCAATTTCTTCATCATGTGGAACGTACGTACAATTCCCCCGTGGTTTCATGCAACGTAGCTTACCTTGCTCTATCCATCCAGCACCCCCAGTACCACAGTGTCATGCGTGGGCCGTCGACTACGACGGCGGCCGCCGCCAATCCCGCAGTTGAGCAACACGTTGCCGACGTCGCGTATGTTCCTTCCGCCGCTGGTGTTGCTGTGTAAGTATGCCCAAACGACGACGCTGTTATTAGCACGAAAACGATAAATATTTCAGTTTGCACGTTGCTTTGACTTCATCGTTCGTTCCAAATACCTCAAGCAATAATTACAACCAGGTGGCAGAATGATCCATGTTCACCAACGCATTCAAAGTATTACAAAGACTAGCATGGGATTTTCACGAGTCTCCCGTCGCGTTGCTGCGCCCCCCTCTCTTAGCACGGTTTGTTTCCTTCGTGGGACCTAGATCTCTCGTCAAGGACGCCTATGCAGCGGCAGCGCCGTGCCGCGCCACAGGATTCAAACCAACCAATGGATGGGCGCGGGAAGCAAAATGTTTTTTCGATATTTTTATTGATATACTGTACTTCGAAGTATAAAACTAGGATATATTTTTATGTTTTCTGCCACTGGGTCATTTTGCGGTGGCGACGGGACGGAGAAGGTCGAGTGGGTGGTACGCAAGATGGAACTGAACCAGGAGCAACTGGTGCATGAGCTTGAACGCAAGCACATGGCAACTTCGGAAGCTCTTCTTGCGTCCAACGCCCGCAGTGAGGCACTGGAGGCGGAAGTGCGGACGTTGAAAGCTGAGGCCGATGCTCACGTGAAGCAACTACAAGACGCCAAATCCAACGAGCACCAATTGTCGAATGAGCTCGCTCAGATCACGCAGGAAAAAGCACGACTTGACGCCCAACTTCACAGTGTCTTGAGCTTGTCCGACCAACGTCTTGAAGAACTCCGTGCCGAGCGCGAACGAGCCGCAGATCAAGCGAAGCAACTCGTGGAGTTGCAAACAAGCGAGACCCGCGCTTTGCAGGCTCAAGCGCAGCTCGAAGCTAAGCTTCTTCCTTTGCAACTGGAAGTCACACGCTTGCATAAGGACCGCGAACACGACAAGGTTCATGTCGAGGAACTGCAAAATCGCCTTGTGGAGAAAAGCAGAGCGTTGACCGAATTCCGGCTCCAGCACAACAAAAAGCTAGCAGAAGTCGAGCATCAAAACGCTGACCTGGCCGAACAGGTCGAGGAGCTGAAGAAAATGCTCCGACGTGTGACGGCGGAGAATGCGTCCCTCAAGGAGGATGTGCGGGTTGCGCGCGAAAACGCGATGGAACTCCATACCGAACACTCGCGAGCGTTAGGCCACCTTGAAAAGGAGTTGTCGGCGCAGCATCGTCTGACCGACTTGTACAAGGACGCTGTGAGCGATGCGAACATCCAAGTGGAGGCGCTCCAAGCCAAGTGCGACACTCTGCAAACGGCTCTGCATGAAGCGGAAGACGCTTTGGCAGAGGAAAGCCAAAAAGTCCGTGAAGAAACTCAGGCCGCGACGATGGACGTGTTTACGGAACAGACCCGCGTCTTTGAGTCCAAGATCGACGAGTTGGAGATTGAGCTTCGCAAATCCGTCGCGCGAGTCGCCGAGCTCGAAGCCACGCAGTCGGCCGCCGCGACGCAAGTGGCGACGATTTCGGAGTTTTCCCCGACTGCGGGCGAGCTCCATTTGGCGTCGCATGGGTTGAGTCCCACGGACATGTACAATCGCATTGTCGAGTTGGAGAAGCAAGTGCAGGACGAGCGCACGACGAAGGAGACGCTGGAAAAGTACTTGGAGCGCATTCTGAACGAAGTCACGTCCAAGGCACCGTACTTAGACCGCCTCAAGAAAGAGAACCAGCGCGCGCTCGCCGCCCACGATCAGCTCAGCGAGCGGCTTGATGTGTGCATGGCTGATTTGTCCCGCGCGCGGGAGACGTTGCGTGCGGCGCAGTCCGAAAAGAGAAAGGTCGAAGTCGAGCGAGACACGCTGCAGCAGTCCGTTGCCGACTTGTCTAAGCAGATTCAGCAGCTCCTGTTTCAGTCGTTGCAGTCGTCTAGCCCAGTCGTCGATGCATCCGAGAGCCTCGTCGTCTTCCGCAGCGTGGAGGAGCTGCAGACGCGCAACCAGCAGCTGCTGCGCATCGTCCGCGAACTGTCCGAGGCAAAGGGTGACCACAAATCGAGCTCGAGCGCCGTGGTTGTCACGATCGAACCAGACGACACGTGCACATCGGCGCAGTGGGAAAAGGTGCAGGAAGAACTTACGACACTCCGCGCAGAACGCGAACGCGAGCAGGAAATGGTCGCGGCCATCGTCAAGCAGCGAGACATGTATCGTGTGCTGCTGTCCCAGGCAGATACGCGATTTGTCGACGCGGAACGACTCCAACAGCAGCAGCCGTCGTCGCCGCGGCCGTCGACATCCTTGGCGCTCATCGCGACCGAGTCGTACGAGTCGCGCATGTTGCGAGAACTGCGTTTGGAATTTGACGATTACAAGAAGGAGAAGCAAGCGGTCGTGACCGAGTTGCGCGACACCGTCGACGGCCTTCGCGTCGAGTGCTCCAAGGCCAAGATGAGCGGCATGGAAGCCAAGGTCCATGTCAAGTCGCTCGAGGATAAGATTGCGCTCATTGAAAGCCGCAAGGCGGATGTGGACAAGGAACTCCATCATTTCCGGTCCAAGTACGACCAAAGCAATGCACTGCTAATCCAAACGCAGAAGCAGGCTGCGGACTTGTCTGCCAAATTGGACGCACGGGTTGCCGAGGTCCAGTCGCTCCACGGCGAGCTGCAAAAGACCAAGACAGAGCTCGCATTCATGACCACACAGGAAGAGCGCCACCGCGTCGAACTGGCGACCATGCGATCCGAACAGACGTCCCAACTCAAGCTCATGGAGGCGGTGCACCGCATTGAGGCGCACCAGACGGATCGCCAGGCCCAAGAAGTCGCCCGCTTGACGACGGTTGCGACCGCACTAGAAATTAAATTGGCCGACAAACAGCGAGCCTTGGACGACGCACAAAGCTTGGCCAGTGCAAAAATCGCCGAACTGACGTTAGAAACCAAATCGATTCGAAAGATGCTCGACGCGGAAAAAGTCGCACATGCCAGTGTCCGAGAAGTGAAGGCTGGCTTGGACGAAAAAGCCAAGGCGTTGACGAACCAGATCAAAGCCCTCAGCGAAGAGGTCGCCGTGTTAAAGGTCCAGTTGAAGAAGGGCGCGGGGGTCGCCGCCGCCGAGCGGGTTTCGTCGCTTGAGACGCAACTCCACGACGCCAAGCAGGTTCGTCATGCTTGGCACATTGGATGGAAGATCTGACGGTGGTTGACTTACAGGAATTGCACGCAGCGCTGACGGCCAAGCAGACGGCCGAGCAGCACGCCGAGCAATACAAGGTCATTTCCGAAGCGAACGAGAAATCGTTTGCCGTGTTGTCGGCGTCAAGTGAGAAGCTCAAGGCCGAGCACGACGCGGCCACCAAGGCCATTGCAGACGAACTCGCGACGGCTAAGCACGAATTGGCCGAGTTGCAGAAGAAGATGCTGAACAACATTGCAGAAGAAAACAAACTGCGCGAGGAAATGGATTCGTGGGACCAGACCAAGCGCGAAGAGCTCCGCAAGTCGAACGATCGCGTGGTTGTGGCCGAAAGCCAACTCGCTTCGTGCAAGCAGGAACTCAACACTGTCAAGGACAGCTTGGCGGGGTTGGAGGCCGACTTGGCCACTGCCCAAGATAACTACAGCCGCGAGTTGCAGGCGCATGCCACCGCCGAGCAACAACTAAACGACCTCCGCAAACAAATGGACGCTGCAACCAAGGCGATCAAGGCCGCGGAAGGCCAACGCGACGAGCTCCAACGCGTGTTGAATGGCATTGAAGGCCAACACACCAAAACGACTGACGCGCTCAAGGACGCGCTCGCCGACGCGCAATCGTCCGTGGAGTCGCTGACCGAGCAAAACAAGCTCCTGCACTCGCAGCTAGACGTGTTGACACAAGATTTTAACCGCCTCCAAGAAGCAGCGACTTTGAAGGCGTTCCACGACCGTGAAGCCGTTCCCGAAACGGAGCACGACAAGCAGGTGCGCGAACTCCGCGCAATCATCTCGAGCTTGCGCCGAGATTTGGAAATTGCCCAGTCCAAGAGCGACGTGGCCAAGCAGGAAGTGCTTCGCCACCAAGGGCACATCAAGACGCTGGAAAAGTCGTTGGACCGCGTCAAGGCCGAGTACGAAGTGTCCAAGCTGGAACAGGTACTTTTCTGGAGTCCGCTGTGAAATTGTTCATTTTCACGGTGGTCGACAGGCGAAAATGCTGACGGCGACAGAACAAAACAAGCGATCGGCGCAGCTCGACACGCTGAGCTTGTTGCGTGAGAGCAACGCGATGCTCCGCGACGAGAACGACAAAAACTTGAAGAAGTGCAAGGACAAAGACGCCATCATCGAAAGCCTGGAAGCGCAGATCCAACCGCTCCAAACTGCCGAGGGTGTGCTCAAGTCGCAGATTCAAGCATTGAAGGAAGATGTCGAGAGCTTAACCCAAGCCAACAAGCGATGGAAGGACCGCGTGAACCAGCTCGTTGAAAAGTACCAGCAGGTGCGTCCTATGTAGTCCACGGTGACGAACTCAATCCGTTTGTTTTTCTGGCGGTAGATTGACCCTGCCGAGCACGAACAAGTCTGCACGGAGCGGAACCAACTGAAAGCCCGCGTCGACGAGCTCGTGGCGGCGACGCAAGCCGTGTCGACAGAAGACAAGAAGCGCATCGAGGAGCTCGTGACAGAGAAGAAGCATGCCGAAGAACGACTGGCGCGCATGCGGCTGTTTGTCAAGGATTGGCAGCAGCAGGCAAAGGCTGCAAAGGAACGCGTGGCCGAGTTGGAAGCGAGCAAGTCCGAGTCGGAATCCAAGGAGTCGAGCGTTCGCGAGTCGGAGAAAGCGTTGGAGAGCAAGGTAAAGGCACTCGACGACCAAGTCAAGGCGCTGGACCAAAAGGCCAAACTTGGCGAAGAAAAGCGCCAGTTGGCCGAGGCGGAACTCAAGGCCAAGCTCGACTCGGAAAGCAAGAAGAATGGCGCATTGAAAGACATGAACACCAAGTTGCTCCAACGATGCAACGCCTTTCGCCAGGAAATCGCCGAGCTCAAGGCCAGCCGCGTGGAATCGTCAGAACAACCCACAACGGTGCAACCTCCACTTTCGACGTCGGAACCCGCCGTCAAGGAGGAAATTGTTGTCGAGGCAGAGCAACCTGTGGCTGTGACTGCGCCAGCGGCGACTCGACCTCCTGTGGTGGTGGAATCTGCGGTGGAAGCTATTGCAATTGCCACTCCACTTCCTCCCCTTCCCCCTACGGATGCTCCGTCTTCCCAAACGCAACCTGCACCTGTGGTCGCGCAGACTGTGTGCCCCCCGCTGCCGACGGAAGAACCGAAAGCGCCACCCGCCGCCGACGACCCGGAAAAGATTCGCGAAATGGCGTTGCGCACGTTGTTGTTAAAGTCGAAGAAAATTCCAAAGGACCCAACTTCGGCTGCTCCAACGGGACCTCCAGCCACCGTGGCAACCACCGAAGCCTCGGATAACATGTCGGCTGAACAAACGCCTACGACAGTCCCTGCTGTACCTGCGCCGAGCAGCGCACCCCCGACTGCCCCAACTGTATTTGGTGCCGTCGGAACCTTTGGGGCCCCATCAACACTAAACGCAACCGCTCCCGCCTTCACCTCTGGCTTTGGAGCTTTTGCCGCGTCGAAAGGGTTGTCGTTCCTTGGAATGTCCAAGCCGAAGGAGAAGGCTGAGGAACCTGCCGCCCCTCCAGTCTCTGTCACCCCCAAAGTCCGTCCAGTTGCCATTGTCTCGAGTATGCATTTGATGGTGTTGTGATGTAGTCGTCCAATCCGTTCTTGAACTTGGCCCCTCCGTCGGCGTCGGGAAGCGCCCCGCCCACGCTGACCTTTGGCAAGAGCAACATCACCCTTCCCGTGCCGACCCTCACGGCCGACGCGAGCCAGCAAGCCCCTCTGCTTGGTGTGGACCGAGAGGCCGAAGAACAGAAACGCGTTGAGCGGGCCCTGCGATTCAACGCGGCCGAAAAGACCAACAAGCGTCCAGCGCCTGGTGCGACCGACGGCACGGCGCCACCCCCGGCGAAGAAAGCCAACACGGACGCCGTGGACGATGAAGAGAAGACGGATCCGCCGGCGAGCGGCGCCGACGACCCGCCTTCGTCGTCCCAAGACTAAGCCCTAGTTAACATATATATCGTCGACGTGCTTGCGTTTGAAACCGACACCAGCACACGAGTAACTGCCGGTAACGGTTTTGGACGACGACGACCGGTGCCATGAACACGACGAGCCTGCGGGATGCGCTGACGACCCTCGGCATCTCTGCCGCGACCCCTGGCGTCCGCGGCGACGACCGCCGTGCGATTCTCCTCGGTGCAATGTTTCTTTAAGTTGCTACGAACCAACTAGACATGGAGTAGCTCGATATGAAGAAGCGATTGGCACGTCGCCGCCGGGCAAACTGGCCGGTTCCAGTTGCGACGCCAGGAACATGACGGACTTGCGGCGGTAACGTGAACGACGACGCCGTTGTGATTCCAACACCAACCTCCGTCACTGTAGAGAGCTCGAGCAGCTCGGCATTAGCACCAACACCCCTGGCCTCCGTGGGGACGAGCGGCGGGCGACGTTGCTGCAACGACTGCAGCAACATCGAAACATGAGCGGTGCGGGCAGCGGCGGGACGACGAGCTATCTTGTTCCCCAAAAGTCTACAAGTGCTTGGCTTCCAGAGCCTGCGCATGACGACAACAACCAAACGGCCACGACATTAAACACACCGACAAAAGCAACTGACAGCACGGGAGATGACTATGACGGGACGACCGAATCGACATCGCCCATGAAGCGCAGTCAGAAGCAGAAGCTGCAAGCGAGCCAGCTCAAAGCTGAAATTCAATCGATTCAAAAGGCGCGGTCGGCTGCGATTGCGGCTGCGCTCGGCGAGGACACTGTCGCATTCTACACGCAAAAGCTGCTGGATGTCGACCACCAGAAGATGGAAGTACGTACATAATCCCAACAGGCACGACGCAACATGTTGCTGCTGCTGCAGGGGGCTGCGTCCATGACACAGGCAGCGATGGACTCTTTGGTCGAGATCGAGGCGGCGCTGCGCGACAAACTGAGAGCTGCCAACGACAAGGTTCGCAACCGCCGACTGACGAGTACGTTGCTCCCATGGTCAGCTAGGAACTGCGCGTTCGGGAGGTCGAGCGCAACAACAATGAATACGGAGTCCACGTGGAGCACGAAAAGGTGCAGTTGCTGCGCAACCTTCAAGAAGAGATTGCTCGCGAGGGCATCCAAGGCTTCCACGACCTCGTTCGCATTGCCGGGCAGGATGAAGAACACCCAACCCCCTCGAGACCTCCGCCGTCGCCAACGAAACACGCGAAAGCAGCACGCAAGAACCCTCTGCTCACGATGACGACGCTGGACGACTTGCGGCGCCAGACGTTGCCAGTCGTGTCCAAGACAGATATGGTGGGGCGGGCTGGGCAACGCGATCGCACGACCACATTCGACTTCACTCCCGACGTGGCCTCGCACAGCCGCGCCGACAAACTCGGGCGGAAAGCGTTCTTCCTCCACGTCTGTGTCCCTATTGCCGTTTCCCCTCGAGAGTTGGCATGACTTGTGCCTGTCGTTAGAAAGTCAAAGGCGACTTTGCACAAGCAGAAGAGGCGTACACCCAAGCGATCGAGCTCGATCCAACGCATGGCGGTACGATGCTATGACTCGCTAGCTCTTGTGTTGTTGACGGGCGTGATGGCAGTTAATTTGGGCCACTTTGCCATGTTTTTGGACCACATCGCGCAGCGCGCTGACGACGCGGAAGAGTATTACCTCCGTGCGATCGATGCGACCGCGGACAACGCTCTCCATCTCTCCCATTACGCAAAGTACGCCCACTATCCTAGATCGCCACAAATGAACATGTTGCAATCGCCGCAGCTTCCTCCAACGCGTTCGCGGGGACGCTCACCGTGCCGAAGCGTATTACGTCCGCTGCATGACGGCATTTCCACGTCACGGTACGGGCTGCGATACGATCCAGTTGACGTGGATGGATATCGATCGTAGCCAGCAACTTGGGCAACTACGCCAACTTTCTGCGGTATACCAAGCGGGATCTAGTCCAAGTATATGCTCCTTCCACTTGCACCTCCTCATGCGACCACGTAGGCCGAAGCGTGCTTTGTGAAAGCGCTCAAGATGGACCCGACGCACGTCAACAACCTGTGTACGTGCGCTTACGAGCCCCGCGATGAGATGGCTGATGGCATGGCTGGATGGGTCGGTCCAGCGCAGTACGCGTCGCTGCTGAGTGAAATGGGCAAACTTGAACATGCAGATGCCATGTACCAAAAGGCCATGCAGATGGACAACGAGAACGTCACCATTTGTGGTATGTCCACCGCCGCTGACGACGCTGCCAGACGTGACCGTCGTACCCAGGAAACTACGCGAATCTACTCGTCAAGAGGCGGCAACTCCCCGCTGCCAAAGCGCTGTATTTGAAGGCGATGGCGCTGGACCGGGAAAATTTGCATACTCAGCAAAACTAGTACGTCATCGACGAGGTCGGCTTGTCATGCTGACACCATGCTCCTTCAGCGCTCTCTTTCTGCGCGACCATCCCTCCATGCGCACGGGCGAGACGAGACCGTATGTCGTCCCCGACAATTCCCTGCGCGTGACCCAGCACGTAGGATCAAGATGCACCCAAAGGATCGGTGGGTGCAGCTCAAACAAGACACCACACTTCTCGTCAAAGCCTCCACGGCCTTTCGCATCAAGTAGCACAATCCCCAGCAAAAACGGATTGCATGTTTATATTCCGGTATCGGGTGGCACGGCGTACGAAGAAGACAGAGTTGGTAAACTGCAGAATGAAATGGCAGAGACATGCTGTATGGTTGTGCCACACGAATCCATCGACATGGAACATCGAAGCGACTCGCGGGGACAGTCGCTGGTTCCAGCACCACAACACGAAGCTGGACATGCTGGCCATGCACACTCGCAGGCGGACCTGATGGAGGGCCACGCTACAAAATTCCCATTCAGTCATCGGACCGACCTCTGCAGACCATGGTGATTCATGGTCAGGGCGTCCCATACCGTCTCTCAGTCTTCAGGGCCGTCATAAGGTGCCTGCGGTCGGCACGTCGAAGTCGATTGTGTGCATGGAGCGAACCCCGAAACCCCTGCCTTGGCAGAGAGCCAATCAGTGACGTGGGCCAGGTCACAGCGACTGGCGCGACGGACGCGATGGCGGACATGAACAAGAAGATAGAAGAGGACGTGGTCAAGGCCGCGGGGGTTGCCGTGATCGACGACGACGGGTTGCTTGTGGCAGACGACGAATGGACGGAAGAGCGAGAGGAACTGGCCAAGGCGCTGCTCGAACAAGACAAGAAGGTCGTCCCGCCATTTTGGCAAAGTACGTTGATGCGCCGTGGTCACTACTGCCGGCGCTCCATGCTCTGCGCATAGACAAGTACGAAAAGGAAGCTGCGAAGAGCTGGGATTTGTTTTACAAGCGCAACTCGACAAACTTTTACAAAGACCGGTACGGACACCGGGTCGTCGGAAGCACCTAACACGCGGTTCAGGCACTACCTCCACCTCGTCTTTTCAGATTTGGCCCCCAAAGAAGGCGACACGTCCGACGAGGTATGCGCGGCTCCTGTCCATGCTACCGTGACCTCGTGCGCGTAGAAAACATGGCTGCTCGAAGTCGGGTGTGGCGTCGGGAACGCCGCGTTACCGCTTCTGGAAGTGAATCCGCGGCTTCATGTTGTCGCGATTGATTTTGCCGCCAAAGCCGTTGAACTCTTCCATGTAGTCTTGCTTCAGCCGACCGTCCTTTGTTGAAAAGGTGTTCGAATCCCATAGCAACAACCTTTGTACGACCCGTCCCGGTGCCACGTATCGGTGTGCGACATCACGACCGACCCGCTGCCGGCCGTGATTGACGCTGAAGGCGGCGTGCACTTTGCGCTGTTCATGTTTTGCTTGTCCGCGCTGCATCCTGACAAGATGCAAGCCGCCGTGCAAAAGATCGCGGACGCCGTCAAACCCGGTGGCAAGGTGTGGCCACCATCGTGATGGAAGTGGTGTGATGCTTGCGTGTTGGCAGATCTTTTTTAGAGATTATGGCCGGTACGACCAAGCACAGCTCCGCTTCAAGCCTGGCCACAAACTGGCCGACAACTTTTACGTCCGCCAAGATAACACCCGCGCGTATTACTTTACCATCGGTACGACGCCGTGAATGCGAGAATCGTCCTAGCTGAAGCTGTGCACAGACGAAGTGCGCGACTTGTTTGTGGCGGCCGGCTTGGTCGAGCGCGAGAACGAGTACATTCGCCGCCAGTACTCGAATCGATCGCAGGGAGTCGTCCGCTTCCGCGTGTGGGTCCATGCTATCTTCGAGAAACCCCTCTAGTCGCCGCGCAACACCATCCGATGCGATTTTTCCCATGAATTCCAACTCTTTCATCGCGATAGGTTGCCGCCACGGTGCTTGCCATCGTGTGCACATACACATCGTATGCATAATGCCATGACGAGGGAGATGGCTGTGAATGCTGGCGCAGTGGCATCTCCTTCACATTGATATCTTCAGCCGCAGTTTGGCTGGAACAAGCAGCCCCCCCCTCACTGAAATCCGTTGTGGCGCTCGCTCGCATATCGTTGGACACTGGAAATTTCGCAAGGCAGTGTAACCTCCCTGCCCAGACGTGATGCCACGGATGTTTCATGTGGATCTTTCAGCCGAAACATGTCCTCTTCTAGAAAATCACCCATGATCTCGTTCCCTGCATGATGGGGCCATTGAAGCCGCGAAAGAGCAGCGCGATCGCCTTCATGCCAGAGCAGCGCGATCGCCTCATGGCCAGGCTTGGTATATTAATTTCACACGTTTGAATTGTCTCCCGATCCAAAATATTCGTCCCTGATTGGTCCGATCTATAGCCAATCATTGGCGAAATCCATCCCACCACCAAATCCCCAAGCACAAAGCGATGCTCGTCCGCGGCTTCCATCGCGCGTTTGCGACGGGCGGCTGGAGAGGCGGGAGGTCTGAAAGCAGCCAAATCTGGAGAAGCAACAAGCCTGACTCGGCGAGGAGCTGGAAGAGCCGTGATTCGCCAGCACGATCGTCGTCTGGCGATAACTTCAGGCGAGGAGGTACAGCACGTCGGACCGTTGCCGTGTCTCCGGCGGACGGTGGAGATGCCACAGATCGACCTGCACCGCAAGAAGTCATTCCAGGAGAAGCCTTGCATGGTATCCATGGAGTTCGACAAGCTCTTCGATGCAACATGCGTGTGTTTCACAAGCTGATGTTGCGCGACACAAACGGACAACCTGCTGCCGCGTCAAAGAAGACGACTTCAGATGCAGACCATCACTTGAAGGAAATCAAAGGCCTTGCGCTGGAGTATGGTATTCCTGTCAGCTACGAAAGGTATGGAATGGTGTGGTCGTCGCAGCATGCATAAATGCGTTGTGCGCAGCAAGTGGAAGTTGAATAACGTCACCAACGACAAGCCACACCAGGTAGGGCGTAGCCTACCCACTCGACTCTAAACTAGAAATTGTGCAGGGCGTCGTGCTGTTCGCAGACCCCGTCGAGCTGCCTACATTCGAGCCGCTGGTTCCTCCAGGTATGGATCGACTTCTCTCTAAACCAACCCACCATGCATAGTCACGATGGACGGACGTCCGCCAGTCATTTTGGCCCTCGACGAACTCCATGATGCGCAGGTCTGAGCTATTTTCTGATGATGCTTCGAAACTCTACCGACTCAACTGTCAACGTTGTAGAATTTTGGCGCTGTGCTACGATCGGCGTATTTTCTTGGAGCGCATGCTGTGTTGACCAGTGCCCGCAACAACGCGCCGCTTTCCGCCGCTGTATGCAGCGCCATTACCAGTCTCGTCCTCTTCTAACTGATCAGGTGGAATTTAGGTGCTGCGCGCCTCCGTCGGATCATCCGAGGTGCTCGCGTACGAGGTACTAAAGCGACAGGACCTTGTCGCCTTTCTATGAACGAGTGTGGATGTAGCGACGACTCTTTCAGACGCCCAACATGCACCAAGCGCTGGCAACGTGCCAGGAGCTTGGTTGGACGATTGTTGGGGCGTGCAGCGGCACCAAGGCCATCTCGTCCGCATCGTACAAGATTGCAAGCCCAACCATCCTCGTCATGGTATGCAATGACTTGTCGATCGTGTTTTGTTTCTTGCGCTGAATGATACACCAGGGTAACGAACACCGTGGCCTGAAGCCCGCCATTCGCCGAGTCTGCAACGACATTCTGACCATTCCAGGTTGACCACATCTTGCATGCGGCCGACAGGTCCATTGCAGTCGGAAGCTTCACGTCTTGGTGTAGGCAGCATCCAAGACGAAGCATCAAAAGTCGACTCGCTCAACGTGAGTGCGGCGTCGGCTATCTTGCTCTACCAGTTGCTGCATGGTCCTCAGCAAGTCTGAGTCCAACGCGGTTCAAATCAAAGTGGCTGTAGGCCGAATGAATTCGACGAGGTAGCTGAAAGTAGAGGCTGCCAGGCCCTTTCAAGCAATGGCTTCCATGAATCCGATTTTGTTGTGTGGTGGGGTGCTGTGGTGGCCTCAGGATGCTGCCACGTCAGTTCCAAGCACGTGCATGACTGTGTCTCCGACGGCAGGACGGAGAATGCCTAGGGGGATTCTGCACCAGCGTCATGTGCATCCGGAGCGGCTCCATCTAGTGAATGCACACAAAATACGTTTGAGAAAAAAGGGATCGGCCGATGCGGTCGCTACATGAGGGTGCACGCGTCCGCGAGTCGCGCACGTTTCGGTTCTGGCCACGTCTCGACTGCATCAAGCACAACGACTTGCACTCCGCCGGACTGGCATGTGACAACGCCGACCTCTCTTGAACGGATCTTGTCCTTTGTGCTTCCCACACCATGGCAGATTCCATCGAAGGCGTTCGTTTGGCCGACAAACGTTAAAGACATGCCATCGTCGTCGCTGATGTCGTATACGGCCAGCCCCCCGACTTGGCACGCGCACAAGAGTCGACGGGACGACTGGTCCAGGTGCACGTCAAACACGGATCCATACGCGGTCTTGACAACGCCCAGAGCTTTAAGCTGCTCGAGATCGATCACGGCGACGCCTCTGGCGCCACACGCGATGTACGCCGCCGAGCTTGTGAGAGCAATGGCATGTGCATCCCCGGAAAAGAGTCGCTTTGCCGTCAGGATGACGGGGTGGCGGGCGTCGATGAAGTCAACAACGACAACCATGCCTGCGTCACACGCGATGTACGCGTACCGATCGTGGAGGACCTGAACGGCCTTGGCGCGGAAAGTTGTGCCTCCCACGGCAAGAGGAAGCATCGACGTCCAAGTGTGCGAGCGCGTGTCGAAGAAGCACACGCCCATGAGATCGCAAACCACAACAGCTACAGACGTACTCATCGCGACGCCGACCGCTGGGATGTTGAAGTGGTCACCAACGTGCAAAGAAGGAGTTGTGTGGATGATGCTTAATCCGCCAGTGTGGCACGCCACGTACGCAGACTTGCCGTTCGACGTGGCGACGACGGACCGTGCGGGGCCAGACACATGCACGCGGCCAAGGCTGCACTTCTCGTGGAGGTGAATCCAACTCACGTGGGTTAGGCACGCAACGAACGCTGTGGAGCCGACAACGTGAATACCGTAGGCCAGACCCCCAACGGAGATGGTGGACGTCCTGGCTGGGACTGAAGAAGCCTGAAGAAGGTGGTGATGGTAAACACTGCTCTTTTGCCGGTTTTGTCGAGGTGGCGGAGCTGGAAGGACGTCGTGTGCTAGCAGCGGCATCATCATGGTGGCGGAGGTCATGCGGATGGATTTGGGATTGCAGAATGATGGGTGCGAGGCCGCTGGTGGTCCTCTCCGCCGTCCAGCACCATGTCAGAGCATTTCCGCGCTTGCCACATTTTCTGTCCTCTTGGGGTGTTGGCTTCGATCCACCATAAAGTGCTCGAAACAAGACACAATGCGTTAGTGTAACGTCCGTTAAGTTAACCAGGTGCCTCTTTGCCTACGAGATCGCGACCAGTGCTCTGTCACAGAGCTTCCTACACAAGCACGCTCGCTACTGATGGTCATGAAGCACCGGGCGCCTTCCTTCCTCGTGGTGGTCAACACAAGTACTCGGGGACGCTGACGAGTGAGGTATCAAGTTGATTTTGCTGACCCTCCGCAATCACTTTCGAACTGTCCCCGGCGTTGCTCCCTCCAAATGGAGCGACCTGCGGTAAATCGTGCGTCGCATCTGCGCACACGACGTGCATGGCATGATCTCGGCACGTTGGTCGGCGTCCCACTGACGTCAGGACCAAATCAGCCCTAATTTTAGCTGGATGTACAAATATACTCCGAATATTGTGCATCTTTAGGACTTGACACAGTATCTTGTGGGTGAATACTGTAATACACGAGTATTATATATTTGTAGTGCTTCATGTTCCAACTTCAAACTGAAAATATAATGACGATTTTATACTTCGACGTGTTGAACAAGATCCGATTGAAATACTGATTTCCCCCCGACTTTTAAACGGGCCAAGGTGAATAAAACTTGAGAATCGATAATATCGAATGTCGAGGTGAAATTGAAATTTCAAAAGGTTCATAAAACGGTGTTTGCACGACTGGCATCCGGTTACACGGCTTTCTGCACGACCCAAGTCGTGCAAATTCCATTTATTCCTGGATTCGAGGGGACACCAATAGTATTTTCAAGATGTTTTACATGTTCCATGCTATGTCGAATTTGCACGACACGTGTCGAGCTGAAAGGAAGGGCATCCTATTGGAAGAAACTGTTCACATTACAAAACGTGACAATGTCATCGAACCCACGACAAGCCTCGACGCTCGAGGAGATCCGTGACATGCGAGTCTCCAGGTCCACTAAGGCTGGGTACAAGAGTGGGCTGAACCAGGTGAAGAAGTGGATCATGGCCCACGGCAGCCCCATCATGCTTAAGCATGACGGAGCCATCGACTTGACAGTATTCCAGTACTCCGATTTTCTCGCATTCATTCAATGGCAATACCAGTGCTCGAACAAACCCGGCACGCTTGCCAGCTACCGCTCAGCAATAAAGGACCTGTACAAGCGGGAAAATGTCCCGCTCCCAGTTGAGTATGACGGCGACATGAAAGGTCTGTTCCAAGGTATGCCAAGCTCGGGATGATGAGACTAACTGTGCTTAGGATTGCATCGGCATCAGGCCGAGCACACGCAAACTGGTGGGATCAAGGAATCCGGGAAGCGCCCGATGGGGTATAGCATGTATGAGACCTTGTGCGGTGACACCGTTCGCTTGCTTGACGGTGGCTTTTCTCAC